GTGGAGCCCCAGATGGAGGGAGATTATCAGTGGTCTTGTATGTCTTCCATTTTCTGATGATTGCTCCCACAGTTGATTTTTTCACACCAAGCTGCTTGCCTATTGTAGATTCACTCTTCCCAGTCTGGTGCAGGTCTACAATACTTTTCCTGGTGTCCTTCGAAAGCTCTTTGGTCTTGGCCATGGCGGAGTTTGGAGTCTGACTGTTTGAGGATGTGGACAGGTGTCTTTTATACAGATGAGTTCAAACAGGTGCCATTCATACAGGTAACGAGTGGGGGACAGAAAAGCTTCTTACAGAAGACGTTACAGGTCTGTGAGAGCCAGAGATTTTCCTTGTTTGAGGTGACCAAATACTTATTTTCCACCCTGATTTACGAATAAATTCTTTACAAATCCTACCATGTGAATTCATGGATTTTTTTTTTTCACATTCTGTCTCTCACAGTTGAAGTGTACCTCTGGTGCAAATTACTGACCTCTGTCATCATTTTAAGTGGGGGAACTTGCACAATCGGTGGCTGACTAAATACTTTTTTGCCCCACTGTAAACTGCTTCAAGTGGTCTTATTATGACTCTTCAACACCAAACGGGACTCTGAGACCTTTTTCAGCTTCAGTGTTTCTCTCATCAGCCTCCACACCACCAACAGCACAGAGTTTAAGCTCAACTTCAGGAAGCTCCACACCTTCATCAGCCTCGTCTGGAAGTTCAGGTACGTTATATAGATTTTTATATGTATGCAGATTTATATGTGATCCATTAATGAGTGAACTATCTAGTAGTGACACACTGTGAGATGTGGAAGAAGAACATTTCTAAAATGTAAACTTCTTTCCTCGGTGTTGATGTACATGTAGAATGACAATAAATGGCTACTCTATTCTGAGTAAAAGATAAAAATGTGTTGAAATGAATTAAAGTAGAAAAATATTGGCATGATAGTAGAATTAAAGTCAAAACTGTCAAATGAATGTAACATGTGTTTGACTGAAAACTGATCATTGCAGTGACTTCAGTAAAAAGCACAACAGCTAAAGAAATAAGTTTCCACCACAGCAGCTGAGAGAGGACATGGCTGACTTCCTCACAGCAGCACTGCATGACATCTGTGCTAGATGACAGATATAGACTGTGATTAGTCGCTGTTTGGTTTCAGAGCGTTTTCACAAGTGTCAGTGTAACAGACACAGACAGAGGAAAGCATTGTGGGAGCTGTAGTTGTTACTGAGTGAAGCAGAATAGGGAGCTGCTCAAGTTTTAGCAGAAAGTACAACAGCAGGTACTCAATACAGAAAACTTGGTGAAAGTATAAATACTTTCTGTGCTTCATTAAATAATTTCATGCAGAAGGAAATTGATTTTTTCTGATTTGTTTTTCTGTCATTATTGATAAGCAGTTTGTCACATAAATGCCTGAGTAACTGTGTTCAGTCCAAAAACACATGTTATTCTGTATGTTTACTGCTAAATGAACCGGCTTTGCTCCACATGTTTACACTGCGAGTAAAAAACCTTTCTCTGTTAAACTCCTGCAGATGTGCTGATTTATGTGCGTCTTATTGTGGTCATTATCATCAGCGCCTTTTTAGCAACTTTGTTGATTTTCTACATGATGAAGAGGACAGCTAAACCCAAAGGTGAGGCTACAGGAAACACGCACGATGGTGTTTTTAACTCTTTAGTTGCCCTGGGTGTCCTGCTGTCTCTCCTACCACATTTTTTTGTACAGCTGACTCCCATCAGCAATTACAAGGCAGAGAAAGGTGAGCTCTGGTGCCAGAGAGCCATGTTGGTGGGTGCAGCTAGTGAGCTGTGTTTGGTGATTGTTTGCTCCTGCTCGGTGGAGAGGAGTGTTTGGTGACTAATCCTTTTTTTTAATCTACTTTTTCAGTTCACTGACTGATGCCTGACTTTTGGTTTGCTTCTTTAAATGGTGATAGCGGCTTAACCATGTCTTTTAGTTCAGTTACTAACAGAAGCATTAATAAACCTCTTTAGTTTAACCATTTTGCCTCCCTGTCTCCTTTTTTTGACCCAGACACTTTTTATCACTTTACCTCATCCCCTGGACCTTTTTAGGGAAATATAACAAAGAGTCGTCCCATTAAACCCTTTAAAAACTTAAACATAGTAAAATTTAGAAATACATATCATAGGGAACTGGTTTCTGTCCAGAAAATATTAATGTCCTGACGACATAAGTAACACAAGGAAAATGACAATTAAAAGCCTGAAATGAGCTTCCAACTGTGGCTCAAATATTCTCAAATTCAGTCTGTCAGAACTTCTAAAATCATGCAGTTTGTTTACTGGGAAAATAAAAATTTCGTCACATTATGAACACAAAATTCAAATAAAACACATAAATTACATCAAATGTTTAAACTGAGAACATGTACCATTTTCAGAAATGATGGCGCACCATGTAGCGTCCCCTCATCTTTTAACAACAGTCTGGAAACATCTGGAGACCGAGGGGACTGAGGAGACTAGCTGTTAGGAATGTCGTCCTGTTCTTGTCTGTTAGAGGTTTCGAGCTGCTCAGCAGTCCTGAGTCTTCTCTGTCATGTTTTTGGTTTCATGATGCTCCAAATATTTTGAGCTGGTCAAAGGTCTGGACTGCAGGCCGTGAAGCCAGGCTGGTGTAGTAGATACAGAATGTAGTTTAATATTGTGTTGATGAAATATACCTATAAGACCTTCCCGTAAAAAGATGTCTGGATGGGAGTACACCTTCCAGCATTGATGGTGCCTTTTCAGGTGTTGAAGCTTCCAATTCCACAGATACTGATGAACCCCCGTACCATCAGAGATGAAGGCTTTTGACCTGAGCACTGATAATAAACGGAACAGTCTTTCTCTTTAGTCCAGCAGATGCAACATCCAAGAGAATTTCAGCTTTTAATTGATCTCACTACAGAACAGTTTTCCACTTTGCTTCAGTCAATGAAAATTGATCTTTAGCTGAGAGAAGACTCCTTTACTTCTTTGAAACTTCACCTCTTTAAGATGCTCTTTTTATACCGAGTTACTGACCTGTTACGAAAGAGTTATTCTTCCAGCTGTTTGTTTAGCAATGCTTATTGTTCCAGCCTCCTGTTGCCCCCATGCAAACTTTTGTGAGGCATTTTTTCTGACATTAAATTCAAAATGAGCTACTGTGTTTCATGACATTATAAAAAAAAGCCTCATTTGATTGATTTTTTTTTATTTTCTAATGAATAAAATATCAGTTTAAGAGGTTTGGGAATCATTGCATTGTTTTTATTTATATTTAACACATGACCAACATTCTTGATATTATTTTTAAAAACTAAATTGAAAATAACATTGGCCGTCCGACTGCGGTCTGGAGTGTGGAGCCTTCCTGCTGCTGCAGAGTCGGGGTGGTCTGCCTCCCCCCACCGCAGGGAAAAGGGAAACACCACCTGGGTCTTGGTGCAGTCCCCCCCTTCAGGGGCAAGGGTACCTAGACCCGGTTTGTAGAGTATGCTTGGGGAGTGTAATCGTGTGTACAACGTCTCTTTATGTCTGTCTCCACGTTGGTTGAGTGTGGAGTAAGTGCATATGAGAGCATGAGGGTGGGAATGGATGTTTGTATCTGTGTGGGCCTGTATGTCTGTGTCTATATGTCAGGTTGGGTGTCAGGCGCCACCTCTCTGGGGACATCTCAGGCCCTCCAAGGTTTGGAGGCCTATCTCCCCCTACCACCACTTCCCCTGCCAGTGGCGGACTCCCTCAGACATCGGTGCGTTGGTGGTTCTTTGTGTCCGGGGATGGGCATCCAGGTACACACCGGCTCACTCCTTGGCGGCCGCTTATCGGGGCCTGGAGCCTGGGGCTCGCTCGGGCCACTTCGGAGGTGGGGTGCCCCCGGCCTCTCGGCCTGGGGCTCGGTCACTCAGGCACAGCTGGCTGCCGGCGGAGCTCACGGGCGCGTCACTGCAACTCCCCCTGGCTTCTGCTCCGCGGCTGCTGAGTGAGCCCTCATCTGGGACTCTCCTCAGCTCTTTCCGGGACAGTGGCGCAGCTGCCCCTCTGTTGGTCTTCCTTGGTCTCTTGTGTTCTGGGGGCCTCTGGATGTCTGGAGTTTTGATCTCCTCCACACCTGCTTCATGCCCTGGAGGACGGGGCTGTGGCCCCCCCACACCCTCTAGCAGATTATTACATGAAGGAACCTTTTAAAAAACAAAAAACAAGCGCGTCCATGCTCACAGCTGTGCACACGGGTGATCACACCCACAAACTACACCCTTTTTGGCTCCTACCTCAAAGCGCACTGTGTTCTGTTGATCTTATGTGCTGCACAATAATGTTTAACATTTAGTATTTACTGTCATATTCCCATATATCATTGTGATGTTGTTTATTCTATTACTCTTGTTCTCTTCTGCTTGCTTTCTTTTTTCTTTCTCAGCAGGTGATCCAGGTGATCGATAGATGCATTTTTTTTTCTCTGCCCGTTCTGTTGGTTTTTGTCTTTTGCCCTTCTCCCCCGTCCCTCTTCTCAGCTGTTTCCCTTTCCCTCTTTCTTTCTCCCCTTCTTTCCCCCAGTCAAGTCTGTCCCGTATTCAGTAAGTGAAAATAAAATAAACAATAAAAGGTGAATCAAATGGACCATTACGGCAAGGCTGGGATGGTCAGTTTGGTAAAGTAAATCCGTTGGGCATCTTTCTTTTCCTTTAGACAACAATTCTGATGGCAAAAGAGCCAAACGGGACAGGCAAAAAAAAAGAAAAAAAAAAAGAAAATAACATTTAAAACAGAGTCTATCCAGTCTAATCAGTCTACCCTTCCCTCTTTGTCAACACCATCAGTTCTTCATTTGGGAATAAGAACAATGACTGGTTAAAAGAAATTGTCATTATTGATAGGCAGGCTCCTTTTTCTTTAGTATTAATCCCTCGTTGGTCCTCTTTGTCTGATCCTTTCAGATCTACAGATGTAGTTCCGCTGGTTAAAGACTGATGTTTATCTTCTGATCTGCATATTTTTCAGGACCTCCTGTGGAGTCTGAGAGTGCTGACATCACACAGGTGAGTTTTAGGAACTGTGACACCTGAGCTTCATCACAGCTTGAGTTGTATCAATCAGCTGGTTTGTTCCTTCTGCAGGGCAACAACGTATATATAGAGATCAGAGAGGGGGACAGACAGAGCAGTTCACCTCCTGCAGACGTGTCCTCAACAGATGCTGCACCAAAAACCTCCAACCAGATGGAGATGAAAACAATAGACCTCTACAGCCTCTCCACCTCTCCTCACAACAAAGTAAGTAAAACTGTGGTCTGATTTTAAGCTCTGAGGTCAGAAATTAGGATCTACATCACAGTTTGTGCATTAAAGTAATTTATCATTGATAGATATTTTATGCGATTGCCAGTATTAATGCTTAAAAATGCTGCTTTTTAGTTTTTTGTTTGTTTTTTTGCATTTAACATAAATTGCATTTTTTTTGGTTCATTCTTGTTTTATTAACAAGCTGATAGCAAATGTTTTTTAAGATTTCATACTTAAATATTTCTTGTACACATATTTTATCTTCTCTCAGAGTTTATCTGTATGAATTTTTATTCATTTACATCATATTTTGAGAGACTGAAGTTTGATTCCTTTAGGACTGAAGATGACATGAATGCAGTTGATTATACTGAAGTGGATTTCTCCCACTATCGTGCCACCAACAGCGCCCCCTGTGGTAATGCAATATATGTTTGTACTTCGTCCCCAGGTACATGCCAGCTCTGCCGACCACACCGCAGATGCTTCACCTCCTCATATGTCCAAAAACATCAGTAGTGATGCTGCTGATGAAAGCTCGGTGGCTAACAGATGAACAGAATCCATACAACAGTATATTTTTCTGTTTATGACCATCTGTCTGTCAAACAATTACACTGAAAGTTGTTTTTATTACAGCTACTTTTAGTTTAGTTTAACAGATGGCATGATGGTATGACTGGCAGGCTGCTCCTGGAGCACGATCCTTAAATGTAGTCAGCAAAAAGGCTCCAGGTGGCTAACTTCATCTATTTTATTTTAGTGTGTATTTTACCAAACCAATGGAACTCAGATTAACTGCTGTGTCACCTGTTGCTGTTGTCATCAGTCAGACTGAAACAAACAATAAAAAGACAGAAAAAAGTTCTAATGTAAAAAATGTTTTTTAATACCTACACTTGTTAATATTTAACTTTTCAGCATAACAGCGCTGAAGTTTCAGTTGAGACTGGATGAAGGTCTGAAGTGTCTCCTTTTATTTGTTCTCTAAATAGTGTCAGAAACGTTGATGTAGCATAAATATGGAGAGAAGGTTTGCAAATGTGTACGATATGATCCACAACCGTAAAGTAAGATTTACAAATGTACACAATGATTGGTGTGTAACTTTGAGGACTCACAAGTATGATTTGTTTAGTGCATGTTTTGTACAATCAGTGTACAAAACATGTACAGTGTTCCCTAGTTTATTATAGATGTAAATATTTTCTGTATAGATGTAAGGCTGTAAAACCCCTCACTACACACTTTATACACTTTTCTCAGACAGGCATGAACATTTTCACATTTTCTCTTGTTTATACACTCTCAAGGCTCAAACCTTCATAGAAAAATAAGGGGTGTGAGTGTGGGGACCGGTGATAAATGGGTCAGGAATGGAATGAAAAGGAAACCAGACAGAGGTGTTCAGTATGTAAAATAGTTTTATTACAAATAATCTTAACTTAAAGAGCCGGCAAAGCCGTTTTTTACCAGTAATGCCAAAAAACAAAGGAAGTAGTCGCAGCAACAAAGGAAAAAAACTACCAAACAAATAAAGGCGACGCTTCCCGCTTCTCACACTTCTTACTTAACTCCTCGCCACGGGGAGACACCTGTGGGGCCCACAAGCCTGTAACTGCTCACCACGGGCAAAGGAGCCTTTCCAACACCTAGAAGAAATTGTGTAGAGCAACAGGGGAAAAACCAATTCACACACAGGTCATCCCCAGCTTATATAACCTCAGAGGTGATTACTGACTGGGCCCAGATGGTAAACGAGGCCAGTGAACAGCAGCTGTGTCCTGGGGAGAGAGAAGGGTGAGAGAGACAGAGGGGTAGGAGTGGCAAGAGAGAAGGAGGCGGAGAGAGCAGGCAAACACCCCACCCACACTGTAACATGTACAACATGTTATACAATGAAACCAAAGGCACATTTGTTGGGGAGAAAACTTACAAACAACAGTACAGCACACAGTCACACCGATCGAAGGTTTATGTAAATATGACAAGCTGAATGCATTCTGGACTGTACAGGAGACATGGCACGAGATTGATGGACAATGGCCTACAGCCAATCAGCACGCAGAACACAATGCGCTGTAAATAAAACAAAACAAAACAAAAAAGCATGCAAATTTGCACACAAAAAAAATCTGCAAAACAGCTAGGCCGCGAAAGGTGAACCGCGATTTAGCGAGGGACTACTGTACATGGATTCTCCTTCAGTCAAAAAGCCACAGTCTGCAAGTAGCTGAAAGAAAATGACGCTCACTTAACATTACACAGGATTATATATGGAATTGTGCTTCTATCTGATTGGTAAAAACTGTCAGGGAGAGGCTGTGTTTGCTTGTTTTCTCCCACAGTTACTGGTTTCTGTGGTTAAACATAGTGTGGAGTTTGGAAATGAGTGGAATCTCTACTCTTCTTTGAATGACAAACTTATAATAGTAGAGCTGATGAAACAAACACTGTGTTTTATTTCTTCTTTTAATGAGTTGAAGAGCAACAGCACAGTGAGCGGTGACGAACTTTAAGCTTTGGATGTTTTGCAGTCCTACCACTAAAACGCACATTTCACATGCAAACATAAACACTGCTGTCACATTTAATCTATAGTAAGATTGTAACTAATGATTCTTCCTCCTTTCAGCAGCACTTCAGGATGAAAACACTGGTTTGGTCAAAGCACAAACTCTCACCCACAGAGCAGAGGAAGGAGGAAACATCACAGTTACATGACTCTGAGACCTTTTTCAGCTTCAGTGTTTCTCTCATCAGCCTCCACACCACCAACAACACAGAGTTTAAGCTCAACTTCAGGAAGCTCCACACCTTCATCAGCCTCCTCTGGAAGTTCAGGTGCGTTATAGATTTTTATATGTATGCAGATTTACATGTGATGAAGATCCATTAATGAGTGAACTATCTAGTAGTGACACACTGTGAGATGTGGAAGAAGAACATTTCTAAAATGTAAACTTCTTTCCTCGGTGTTGATGTACATGTAGAATGACAATAAATCGCTATTCTATTCTGAGTAAAAGATAAAAATGTGTTGAAATAAATTAAAATACAAAAATATTGCAATCAAAGTAGAATTAAAGTCAAAACTGTCAAATGTATGTAGCATGTGTTTGATTGTAAACTGATCATTGCAGTGAGTTCAGTAAAAAGCACAACAGCTAAATAAATAAGTTTCCACCACAGCAGGTCAGCAGCTGAGAGAGGACATGGCTGACTTCCTCACAGCAGCACTGCATGACATCTGTGCTAGATGACAGATATAGACTGTGATTAGTTGCTGTTTGGTTTCAGAGCTTTTTCACAAGTGTCAGTGTAACAGACACAGACAGAGGAAAGATTATAAATACTATAACTATAAATACTTTCTATGCTTCAGAGTAACTACTTCATTATTTTATTTTTTATTTTTTGCCTATCCCGTTCAGCACTGTAGCAATCAGAATTATTGTCTGAATCCCTGCCTGGTGCCCCTCAGGAGACAGAAGCTGAAGGATATTTGGTCCTTTGTTCTGACACAGGCTGTTGGGGAATTATATATTTTAACCAGTTTATGAAAGAGTTTACAAAACCAAATTTTTGTAAAGCTGCAAATAAAAATTTCCAGTTAGCTCTGCCAAACGCCTTTTCTGCATCTAGAGACAATATTGTGATTTCAGTGTTTTTATTGCATGATTAGTCTATTGAATTAAGTAATCTACATGTACTGTATTTGTTGATGAGTGCCTGCCTGAAACTGGTTTGGTCAGAATGAATTAAGAGAAGGGTTATTTTCTCTAAGCTTTGCAGATTATTTTGATGTCTGCATGAATCAGGGATACTGAACGATAGCTTGAGGGAAATAAAGGGTCTTTGCCTGGTCTTAGCAGGAGATTAATGTTGGCAGAATTCATATTGGGTGGAAGTCTGGCATTTTCCTTAATTTCTTGGAACATACTGTGGAATACAGGTGCCAGAATTGTCCAGAATTCTTTGTAGAATTCTGCTGGAAAGCCGTCTGGACCTGGAGCCTTATTATTGGGCATACTTATCAGGGCTCCCTGGAGTTCACCTGGCGTCAGTGGCAAATCCAGTTCCATTGCTCGACTGTCTAGTAATTTTTGAAGGGTTACATTATCAAGAAACTGATCAATTTCATTTTTAGACGGGTTTATTTGTGGTTAGTATGAAGTTTCATAGAAATCCCTAAAATTGTTGTTTATTCTTTTAGTCAAAATGCCCGTGCTGTTTTTTTTGTTTGGGCTCGACACGCAGTGAATTAATCTGAGCGGGTGCATCAAAAAATAAATGGCTGCGCCAGCGGTGCACATCGCAAATCAGCTCACATAGACACATTAGTTGTGACTCTTCTTAATGACGGTATCTTAGCTAACAACCCCAACTACCAGATTCAACTTGTAATTGGCTAAAAATAACTTCTGGTGAGAGGGACGTTGTTAGCTTTCCACATTCTGACACTTCAAAAGCTTCAGCGCAGCATCAGCACCATGGAAATACACGGATACATCGAGACAGTCTACGGAAGTCACAATGCGTTTTTGGGACTTTCAGGTGTTTGGACCAATGTTTTCTTTTCTGATCAAACCAGAAATCTTTAATGAGCATCTGGATTTGTCTCACATTAACTGGCTGAGTTAATACCAGTTAATGCAACATCGAAGCAGCTGGAATCCCCAGCTGTGCGTGTTCATTGAGCTTGCATTTTCACCTACTGAACATCACTACCTGACAAGTTTAACTGTCTTCAGAACATTGCAGCGGCCTTATTGACAGTATTTTGCTCTACATATCTGTGTTTCTAGCTGTATGCCATAAATGATCTCTAGCTGTATGCCATAAATGATTTCTAGCTGCAGCTAGAGATCATTTATGGCATACATGTATGCCATAAATGATTTCTAGCTAGAGTAAAAAGCCACGCTCCAACTGATGTTTAACCAGTATTTTAACCTCCTCTTCACCAGCAAACACAGATATTGTGTCAGCAAAATAAAATTGCAACCCAAAAAAAAAAGTATCCTTTGCACCTTTCTACCAAGCATTCAGGAGCAATTGCTTGATCCTTCACCTACCGGCGGCATGTGTGCCTTAAATTAACATCCGTCCAACCCATGCGCACCTCAAAGCGCAATACACAAGTCCACCAAAGGTAGCAGCAATACAACATATGGAATTACATTAAATACTCAGTTTTGAACAATATAATTACATCTTACTGCGACAGCTACACTATACATATTTTCCTGTTTAGATGCAAAGTCAACCTTTACAATGTAGACAACAGTAAATGGATATACAGTTTTTATTTTCACTCTTATTTTCATTGATTAGAATATAAAAAAGTGACACTAAAGTTTGTGTTCCCATCTAGTGATATTATTTTATCATCATGTTATTATAGCACAAGTTTCATTTGGCTTTGCACCAAAATAGAAACATCCTCCAAAGAGCTACTTTTTACTTTATTACTTTGAGTACATTTCAGAACTTGAGTAAAGAAGTTGAATCAGTACTTCAACTTTTACTGGAGTATTTTTTAACAGTAGTATTTGTACTTCTAGGTAAGTGCAGAATGTTATGATGTTTTGATACCACGGTAAGCATTTACAGGATATTGTTTTATACAGGAAAACTGTTACTCAATAAGGCCGATCTACTAGTTGTTTTTCTCTTTCTCTGTGACCCAAGAATTAATGTGTAGGACTCACAAGCTGGTACCTCAAGGTCAAAAACACCACAGAGATGAGACCACTTCCTTACTCCCATCCTCCCTTTTTCTTTATCTCCTGGAAAAGGCTCGTTAAAGGCTAGGTGGTTTGTTTCAGAATTCACTGATGAAAGAACTCTGTATTTTATGTCTAGGAGTGTATTTTGCTGGGATGATCATAAATTATAGCTGAACTGATAAACTACACACAGGATACTTTGCTCAGAAGGCAGGAAGACGTTTCCTTATTTAGTCTGTACCGGTTTGAACTGGGAAAGCTGACACACGAACCTTTTTTTCTCTATATAAACTGCTGTGTATCAAATAAACCTTTGAGTTGATTCTGGGAAAGCAATCTGAACAGTTTCTGTATCACTTTGTTCTCCTAACTGCTCCCGATATCGTAACTAACCCCGCTGAACGGCATACCTGAGTGTTACTTTAAATAATTAGGAATCTTAGAAGGAAAGGACAGAACTCTGCTTATCGCTCACGCCACGGAGGAAACCCGGGAAGGCAATTTCCTTCACAGAATGTCTGTACTTTTGTACTCTGTGTGCAACACTTATAATAGGCTGGGAGTATGCTTGTGCTGTGATGTCCTTGCCTCCACGTTGTTATGTAACTGAGCGGTGGACAGGATACATTTATATTTATTATGATTTATATATATATATATATAGTCTACTTCTTTTGTATCTTTTTGACCTGGGGTTACAATTTCTTGTGAACGGGTAAAATAAAAACATAACATATATAAGGTTATTCTGTTTGGTCAGAGTTTTGTTACAACACAATATAAAAAAAATAAATTAACTTCAAATAAAGAAGAAAAGAATGATTACAAAAATAAACACTTGGTAAATATTTTCCTTTCCTCTATTATTGTGTTTAGGTTTGGGTAGAGAATGGATGAATTTCTGAACATTAAAAGATGTTATGATACACAATTTTAAATAGAAATTTTAAATAAATAAAGATTTTATTTCTGAGTCTTGTGATAAATGAAATATTAAATATTGTTTGTTTGCATACTGCCCCTCTTTAGTTTCCAAAGTCTTTAACTGACTTTCATTCATTTGTTATTTTTATGTCTGTTTCATCAGACATAATGTATTGAGACCAAATACTTAAACAATGGTGCGTTATTTTGATCAAAAGTTCCAGACATGCCTCTGTGAAAAACATTTTTGCAGAGCAGATGTAAAAATAGCCTTTAGGAAGATTGTAGTGTTGTGTTTGATCTGATGAAAATGGAGGACTGACAGCATTTTAGTATAATGAGCAAGTCTAGTTTATAACTAATAATGTATAATTGTAGTTTAGTAAACCTCAAGCAGTCAGTTTCTTTTGAGACATAAAGAAACACTGTTGCAATAGTGTGTGTGTGTGTGTGTGTGTGTGTGTGTGTGTGTGTGTGTGTGTGTGTGTGTGTGTGTGTGTGTGTGTGTGTGTGTGTGGTTTGAAGGCGTGACCTCGTCATTAGGAGAAGTAAGAAGTTCCTGGTTTGCAGTAAAGAAAGAAACGAAGCAGCATTAAACCATCAGAGCTCTGAGATGAAACACACTTTGCTCTGCTTCATCTTCCTCAGTGAGTAAATTCTCTTCTTATTTCTGTCACTTTCTCTGTTCTAAGTCTTATTTGTCTCCATTTTATTGTCATTTGTATGTAATCAGCTGGCTTTACAACTTGCTTCACTTCTTTGTTCTCTCTCATACAAATTATTTCGTTCTGTGATTAAACTGAGTGTTTGGAAAAGAGTCACTCAAACATGCAGTTCATAGAAAGGACACTTTTTAATATTTATAAAAAGATAAAAGCCTGAAATATAAACATACGTCGAATTTAAAGGTTTACACAAACTTCTGCTTTTGCATAACTGCATTGTGCAAATCATTTTGATTCCACTTTTAACCCCAGAAATGACTTTTTGAATTTTTATTGTACATTAAGTCTGCAATCAAATATTTTTTTTTCTCTATCCTTCTGAACATCTTTGTAGAGCTCCTGAAGCAACACTGAATTATTATTTATTTCATATACTGAAGAGGAACAACACAGTGACAACCATCTGTCTTAGTTTAACATATAGTAAGATTGTAACTAATGATTGTTCATCCTTTCAGCAGCACTTCAGGATGGAAACACTGGTTTGGTCAAAGCACAAACTCTCACTCACAGAGCAGAGGAAGGAGGAAGCATCACAGTTGGGTGCAACTTTTATTTCTCTGGAAGCAGGAAACTCTTCTGTAAGGAAAAATGTGAAAATGGAAACATTCTTCTTGAAACATCTGATGATGCAGCTCAGAACGGCAGATACAGCATTAAATATGAAAACTCATATAATATTATGTATGTGAGCATCACACAGCTGAAACAGTCTGACTCAGGATGGTACAGGTGCTCTTTGGATAGAACTTTGGCTCCAGATGGAAACTATGATTTTGAGCTGATTGTCACAGAAGGTGAGTTTCTGCTAACAGTCGTGTTTGTCTTTGAAGGTGTGACAGAAGCTTCACGTCTCAAAAGCAGCTACTTTTCCTTCAAATCACCTACAGATGTTATATTTATCTGAAACATCAAGTTTCATCAGTTCTGCTGTCAAACAGCCCATAACCACGTCAGTCACATGCAGATATATAAACTGCTTCAAGTGGTCTTATTATGACTCTGATGCTTTCATTGTTCACAGCTTCAACCACTTCAACACCAAACGGGACTCTGAGACCTTTTTCAGCTTCAGTGTTTCTCTCATCAGCCTCCACACCACCAACAGCACAGAGTTTAAGCTCAACTTCAGGAAGCTCCACACCTTCATCAGCGTCCTCTGAAACCAAACATGCAGGTACAATATACTGGGTGGCTGTCACTCAGGAGGTAGAGCCTGTCATCTGTTAATTGGAGGGCCAGTCATTTGATCCCAAATTCCAGTGTGCTCATCAGTGTCACTGTTGGATAGAAAGCACAAAAGTGTTTGTCTAAAAAGATGAATAAGGCAGGTCATATGAGTGCTCGAGTAGAAAAGGGCTTTGGGTTCATAATGTGTTTTTATCAGAGAACTACAAAAGAATGACACATTAAGAGCTGTGGAAGAAGCACTCAGATCTTTAAGTGACGTAAATGAGAAGCAGGTGCTCAATGCAGAAAAACTTAGTGAAAAAGTAAACAGTTTCTATGCTTTAGAGTAACTACTTCATTAAATAATTTAATGCAGAAGGAAACTGAAGTCAGTGGTTTTAAATAAAAATTGTTCCGTCATGCTTGATAAACAGTTTGTCAGGTAATGTTTGAGGAACTGTTTTCAATCTAAAAATACACGTTACTCTGTATGTGCACAACTTTACTGCTAAATGAACAGATGTTGAGACCACATGTTTACACTGTGAGTAAAAGAAATCTTCTCTGTTAAACTCCTGCAGATTTTCTGATTTATGTGGGTCTGATTCTGCTCGTTATGATCGTCGTCTTATCAGCAGCTCTGCTGATTTTCTACATGAAGAGGAGGACCACTAAACCCAGAGGTGAGGCTACAGGAAACAAACACAGTGTTTTCATCACATTTCATCACAGTAAAAATTATTTTCTCACTTTTTCATGCTTGGATTAAATATTCTGTCAATCAACGCAAATGTCAACATGCAGCATGTATAATATGCTCCTTTGTTCAGTGTATTGTCATCATAAACACCTTTAAAGCAGATTATTTACCAAAGTGTAATTGTCATTTAGATTTATACACGGAGAACAAATAGAAAAGAGTTTTTCTCTTCCCCAGTTTTCCACCTTTTGTTGTATAAAATCAGTGTAACTCTGATCCAGTCACCACGATGAGAGTGTGTCTACGTCATGGTAACACCAGATAATCTCAGACTGACAGAGCTGCTGTGAAAACAGACCGTTGGACTGAAAGGTGTTACTGATCGGATGGTGACGATCACCAACACAGTCTCACTTGGATATGTTTAAAAAGAATCCTTCAAAATAAGTTTTATCAAATAACCATAAAACAAACAGGGAAACATGGCACCATGGTTGATCTGTCTCAGCTCAGAATGTCCCAGTTTGCATGAATTAAGTCAGGTGTGACGTTTCTGTCACACTGTTTTCACCTTTGTAGTTCAGTCTGTTTGTAAAAAGAGCACCGGATGTTCATTTATGACTCACAACAGAATCTGACTGATATGATTTTGATTCTTTATCAGTCATGTGTCTTATCTAACTGTAGTTCATATGAAGTTCCTCATATTGTTCCTGTGTTTAGTTCCTCAGGTTCTTCTTCCTGTTATGTGTCTTAAAGACAGCTGTTTATTTTCTGACCTGCATGTTTTTCAGGACCTCCTGTGGAAACAGAGTATGCTGACATGCAGGTGAGTTTTAGGACCTGTGACACACATCAGCTTCGTTATTCTTTGCTTTGTATCTGTCAGCTGGTTTGTTCTCCTGCTGAAGACCATCGGGTTCTATGAAGATATTGGAAAGTGTGACATACCGTGCAGGTCACTTTCTGTAGAAGTGTCTTCAGTTTATGCCACCGCCAACGACCCCCAGGCAGATGGAGTTGAAATTATAGACCTCACACCCGCGTTCTCTTTTGACATTGGGGCAGAGGCTGGTAGGAGGAGTTGGCTGTCTGGTCGGGATCTGGGATGCAGGGCTTCCCTGCTGCTGCAGGGGCGGTCTGCTTGTCTCCACCCCAGGGAAAAGGGTAACATCTCCTGGGTCTAGGGGCGGATTGCCCCTCTGGGGGCGAGGGTACCTGGACCTGGTGTGTAGAGTATGCTTGGGGAGTGTGAGTATGTGTACGGTGTCCTTTTCTGTTTGTCTCCACGTTGGGCGAGCGCTGAGTATTTGTATATGTGTGCATGAGGATGGGAATGCATGCTTGTGTCTGTGTGTCAGGTTGGGTATTAGACTCCATCTCTCTGGGAAGATCTCACCACACTCCCTGTCAGTGGCAGATGCCCTCAGCCGTCGGTGGTTGGTGTGTCTCAGTGTTGGGGGCTGGGCGCTCAGGTATGTACTGGCTCACTCCTGGTGGCTGCTTGGCAGGGCCTGGCGCCTGTGGCTCAGCTCCTTCCAGGAGGGTGGGGTAGTTGTGGATGGTCCTCCTTGGGCTCGTGCTCTGGGGGCCTCTGAATGTCTGGGGTTTGGATCTCCTGCATGCATGCTCATGCCCTGGGGAACGGGGCTATGGCTCCCCACACCTTCTAGCGGACTGTTACATGGAGTAACCTTTTGAATACAAGCACGCTCACGCATACAGGTGCTCACACAGGTGCTCACAGACACAAACTATATCTTTCTGCTACCTCAAAGCACATCGTGCGCTGTTGGTCACGTGCTGCACAATAACATTCAATATTTAGTATTTACTGTTCCTTATATTTATCTAGGTTATTGCTGTGGTGTTGTGTTTATTGTGTTGCTCTCCTTTTGCTTGTTTTCTTCTTTTTTCTTTCAACAGCTGAGCGAGTGGATTTTTTAGTGTCTTCTAGTGTCTTCTCTCACTGTCCCTCTTTCCCTCCTTCCTTTCTTTCTTTCTTTCTTTCTCCCTTACCTATCCCCCAGTCATGTCTGTCCGGTCTGTAATAACTTGAAATAAAATAAATAAATAATAACAACAAAGACCATAATGATCCACTGGTCAAAATAAATCCATTGGACATCTTTCTTGGCCTCCAGACAATAATTCTGATTGCTAAAGTAATCACAATTATTGTCTGAATTATTCAAGTATCAAATGGGACAGGCAAAACATATACATGTATGTATACAAACACACACATATATCTATAGATATATATACACATATATATAAACACCTTTCTGGTGGAAAACAAGTCTATCAAAAGTTGTTTTGTTACAAAAGTATTTTGAAAGATGATTTCAGAGGCTTTATGATAATTAAAGGGTTGTTTTGGTTTTTGGTTTTCATATATTTAAGATTTTTTTTAATTATAACATATTTTTGGAGTCTAATGTTTGATCTCACCTCTTTATCTCTTTAAGGCAGATAACCTCTGCTACGCTGAAGTGCATTTTCCCCACATTCCTGTCACCAGCAGCGCCCCCTGTGGTGAAGCAACTGATGTTGTCTACTCAATGCCTCAGGTGGACCTGAGTACTGCCATCCTCACCAAAGATGCTTCACCTCCTCTGTACGCTACTGTTGCCTCACTATGAATTACATCAGTAGTGTTTTTTTTAAATCTGTCCTGTCGCGCAGAATAATGGTCTGAATGCTTTGTTGTGCCAAACATATTTGCTTTCCCAAGAGGAGCACCATAGACTCTTTTTAGGTTTTTGTTTTATTTATTTATTTTATTTTATTATTCATATTTTTCTCTGTATAGATATTAAGCTGGAATGGACAGGGGGTGAGGGATGAATTGGCAAAAGACAGGAGAAGAAATCAGAGGACTAGAAGAAGAAAAAGGAAAGAAAAACGAGAGAAAACAATGAGGGTGGGGGAAAAATCGAGTTTGAAGTATGCAGTTATATAGCCTGAGGTTAAAGTTGTTTTTATTAGAGCTGCTTATAATTTAGCTCAACAGATATATAATATAAAAATGTTGCTTTTATGATTCTGGATGAATTTAGTGAAACGATTGCAGAAAACAGACTGCTTGGAAACAAGATATCTTTCAAGGAAGACGAAAAGTGAAGAGATGCAGTAATCTACATGTTTTTAATGAAAATAAACATGAACATTGGCACTTTTGACAGTGTATGGTTTTTATTTTCTTTTTATAAAATAATTTATAAATATTAGAATACGCAGATTTCCTTCACTTCTGCAGTGAAAATGTTTAGACTCAGCTTCTTCATAAAAACAATATTGTAAAAGAAAGCAACAGGACTTCTTAAACTTTTTGAGGATGTTTCATCTTCAGTTCTAAAAACCCAGAGGTGGAGAATCCCAGGTGTTTGAATCCTAGTGGTCATTGGCCCACTATTGATCATGTGCCTCATCAAATGAGCCAAGGTGTGAAAAACAATTTTGGGTGAAGCCATATTTATTGCCCCACACCATCATGTGATCTACTGAGGTCACCTGATGCAAGGTGTGAGTTAGGATTGAAGGACCTGGGAAGGGATCTCAAAACTGGTTTGTTTGTCGATGGCTGATAGGTGAGCTCATAAATCACCTCCTCTGTTCAATGATGGTCATTTACAGTGGACATAGACGGCCACTTCAGAAACACCTGTCTTCTTGGTCCGAAATGGGAACACTGGCACTCTTTAAAATATGTATTTCGTCTTTAAAGAATAAGGTGCAGATGTATATCTGAGTCTCGTCCTGTCGAAGTGGCTCTTCTATGTTTGTCATGCTTTTATGGGGTGGATGCTCTATGGACTCACTGCACACCATACACAATGTTGCTAAGGTGTTGTATTTATTGCCTGTTTTTTTCTAGCTTTCCAAGTTTGTAATTTGTTCCTGTTATTTATTGATTAGCTTGTGTTTGAGATTTTTTCCCTTGGGGTGAGCTAGTGTTTGTCTTAGGGTCTGTCCTGGTCTGAAGTGCACTGGCATGAGCACTGAGTTTAGCTGAAAACCTGCCACATAAGGGAGCTCTTGGTGGTGGCGGATGCATCTCTCACCCTCTCCCTCCCTTATCTTTCCTGCTTGGCTTCAGTGTCCTTGTCTAGTCTCGTCTAACTCTAACCCTCAGAGAGTCTCTCAGTCTTGCTCTCTAAAACCTGATTTGATCAACTGGTCCCTTACCAAAATTGACACCCTACCCTCGACCAGAAGCCTAGGCTCGGAGAGCCTGATTGTCCTGCAGAGACGTTTGCTGCTGGATACTCAGTGGTCGGTTGCGTCGGGTGCCTGGCGACACTCTCGATGGAGGACACTGAATGACATGACACCATGATAACAGAGCTCTGGCTGATCGGAGATGGCTCGGACCAGGCTTATCGAAGAACAAAGAAAGCGGTTACAGCTGTTCAAAACCCCACAAGGCTGGCTGATTGACAAAGGGCAAGGCATGAGTACTGAGACTGTGTTTATTGAACGCAATATGGCTTTGCAACGGGAAATTAATAGACCTGGTGACCAGTGGTCGACATTAAGAACAACTGTAACTTCTTTAATGCTACCTGTTCCGACCTGTCTCCCCAGTGTGATGTTTGTGTAATGTATGAATGGTTGGAAGGGGTCCAAATAAAGGATTCATCATCAAAACACTGTTATTCCAGCAACATGTTGTTAATCATTTTTACCTTTTTACTTCTTATGTATTCAATCATTAAATGTACAAAGTAGCAACAAAAAATATTTCTGTATATCTAAATTACGTGATGTTCTGACTACAACGCTGCTAAGCAGCTGCATGGCTCATCAAATAAATTAAGTTAATATAGGACTTAAATTGGAAACAGTATGTGTCAATGCAAGATTTAAATAAAAGTGACAGTTGGAAGCAGAAAAAAACCTCTTACACTCATACAGAAAGTTTTACAGACAGCATTACAATGCTCAAAGAAAAATATAATAACAGTAAATACTCCAAGCAAACTAAATAAAGCATGTGCATGTGCAATTAAAATAAAAGTGACAGGTTTTTTAAAAATAAATGTCAGGGCATTGAAGGTAAACAGACAGAGGGAGAGGATGGTGATCACCTGACAAAATAAAAACAATGTGGGCTTTATAGAAATATGGGAAACTTTCTGGGGAAAACCTGGCATTGTCAGGAGAGACAGCATCCATCCCACTTCGTATGGACCTGCTCTAATTTCTAGCCAATCTAGCCAAATGTAAGAAAGACCCCAAAATGTGACTAATCAGAGGTGTGACCAGGAAGCAGAGTTGCAGTCTCTGCAGCTTCTCTCCTCCTGTTATCGACCCGCAAAAATGCGAACGTGTGAAAATGAAAGCTTTAATATGGCATTAAATCTATTATTAGACTCAACTGGCTTCTCTCAAAATGTAAAGAGCCCACTATAAAAAAAAAACCCGTCTATATACCCCGTATAAAAAAGCCATCTGTAAAACTAGAACCTCTTACTATTCTTCACTGATTGCAGAAAATAAGATGAACCCTAGGTTTGTCTTCAGCGCTGTAGCCAGGCTCACAAAAAGTCAGATCTCTGTTGAGCCAGAGATTAACTAGTTAATTTAACATTAACTAGACTTGGCTGACCAACCTGTGCACTGCCTGGCTTTATTACAAGAAGGCCTATGACTCGATGCCCCACACCTTGATCCTGGAATTCCTAGAATTGTACAAGATCAACAGGACCCTAAGAGCCTTCATCAGGAACTCAATGGGGATGTGGCGGACAACACTAGAGGCCTACTTCAAGCCAACAGCACAAGTCACCATGAAGTGTGGGATCTACCAATGAGATACTCTGTCCCCACTGCTGTTCTGCATAGGCCTGAACCCCCTCAGTGAGATCATTGGCAAGACTGGCTACGGATACTGACTATGGAATGGAGCAATCGTCAGCTCATCCTCTATCAGGCTGTATGCCAAGAGAGAATAAGACATCGATTCACTGATCCACACCACCAGGATATACAGCAACAATACTGGAATGTCGTTTGGACTGGAGAAGTGTAGTCAGATGATAAAAAAAAGAGAGAGAAGGTAGTCAGAACTGAGAGGATCAAACTACCAGAAGGGAACATTACAGACATGGAGCACAGCTACAGTGGGGCAAAAAAGTATTCAGTCAGCCACCGATTGTGCAAGTTCCCCCACCTAAAATGATGACAGAGGTCAGTAACTTGCACCAGAGGTACACTTCAACTGTGAGAGACAGAATGTGAAAAAAAAATCCATGAATCCACATGGTAGGATTTGTAAAGAATTTATTCGTAAATCAGGGTGGAAAATAAGTATAAATAAAATAAGCCGTTTCCATCATTTTCGCACCATTAACAACCGTGTGCCCTCCTGCATTTCCCTCCTTTACATCATACTTACCCCACACTTCCTCTTCGCCTCTGTTCCCTTGAAGTCTGTCCATTGTCCACTGAAGTCTGCTTCGGTCGTCACTCTCTCCCCCCGGTGGCACTCTCTAACACTTAATCATACTTGCTGCAGAATTTCTCTTTATTCTAACTGAGATCCAGCCTGTGGGGAAAACTCACTGACAACACTCATCATCACAGCTTCAATATCCAGCTTTAATTTCATGATTCTGTCTGGCACTCTCTTCACCTCCACAACACTGTTTATATACTCCTGCTTCAATATTACCCCTACTTAATTTCACTTAATCATGGTAGAGCAGATTGAAACAAATGAACGATTATTTACATGACACATGACATGATCCTCTATTTTAACATTAAAAATACATTATCCTGAGTTAAGCTCAGCCAGCAGTCCATGCAGATCAGCTGAAGCTCATCTAAACATGCTGCTGCAGAGGATTAAGGGGAAGCAGCAGTGAACTGTTGAAATGGTCAATATTAGCCAATCATGTATCCTCAACACATACACACAGTTCTTACATGTACCTGTATACAGAAGTTTGCAGCTCTTTACAAGCTGTGTTGTGAAACTTTGTGCATGCACAGCAGAAGTATAACAGCACATCACTGCGAGATGAAAAAACACTTTTTTGATGTGGTTATTAGTGAGTGTTTATTTTGTTATTGTTCTTCTTGGTTTAGTTTCTTGTTTAGTTTTTAATGTCTGACTGATCAGAGAAACTGCTCTCTGAACATGATCATTGTTTAAATAATCTAACATTTTATTTTTCATAAAAGTTTCATAAAAGTCCTGATCCTGAGGTTTGAAGGCGTGACCTCATCATTAAGAGAAGTAAGAAGTTCCTCGTTTGCAGTAAAGAAAGAAACGAAGCAGCATTAAACCATCAGAGCTCTGAGATGAAACACACTTTGCTCTGCTTCATCTTCCTCAGTGAGTAAATTCTCTTCTTATTTCTGTCACTTTCTCTGTTCTAAGTCTTATTTGTCTCCATTTTATTGTCATTTGTATGTAATCAGCTGGTTTTACAACTTTCTTCACTTCTTTGTTTTCTCTCATACAAATTATTTCGTTCTGTGATTAAACTGAGTGTTTGGAAAAGAGTCACTCAAACATGCAGCTCATAGAAAGGACACTTTTTAATATTTATAAAAAGATAAAACCCTGAAATATAAACATACGTCGAATTTAAAGGTTTACACAAACTTCTGCTTTTGCATAACTGCATTGTGCAAATCATTTTGATTCCACTTTTAACCCCAGAAATGACTTTTTGAATTTTTATTGTACATTAAGTCTGCAATCAAATATTTTTTTTTCTCTATCCTTCTGAACATCTTAGTAGAGCTCCTTAAGCAACACTGAATTATTATTTATTTCATATACTGAAGAGGAACAACACAGTGACAACCATCTGTCTTAGTTTAACATATAAGAAGTGAAGGGAAAATCTCCGTCCCGGTTTCCCTCCAAGGCACGAGCACCGATAAGCAGAGTTCTGTCCTTTCTTTATTAGATTCCTAATTATTCAAAGTAACACTCAAGTATGCCGTTCAGCTGGGTTAGTTACAGCGCCGGGAGTAGCTTGGGAGAACAAGGAAACACAGACTGCTTCAGGTTGCCTTCCCAAATCAACTCAAAGGTTTATTTAGTACATAACAGCTTATATAGAGGAAAAAAGGTTCGTGTGTCAGCAGGTTCTCAGTACAGACCAAATAAGGAAACGTCTTCCTGCCTTGTGAGCAAAGAAGTATCCTTTGTGTAGTTTATCAGTTCAGCTACAATTTATGATCATTCCAGCAAAATACACTCCTAGACATAGAATACAGAGTTCTTTCATTAGTGAATTCTGAAACAAACCACCTGGCCTTTAACGAGCCTTTTTCTAAGAGATAAAGAAGGGAGGATGGGAGTAAGGAAGTGGTCTCGTCTCTGTGGTATTTTCGACCTTGGGGTACCAGCCTGTGAGTCTTACACATCAATTCTTGGGTCAGAGAGAAAGAGAAAAACAACTAGTAAATGGGCCTTATTGAGTAACTCTTTTCTGTATAATATCACTACAAAACAATATCCTGTAAATGCTACCATGGTATCAAAATATCACAACAAGAAGATTGTAACTAATGATTGTTCATCCTTTCAGCAGCACTTCAGGATGGAAACACTGGTTTGGTCAAAGCACAAACTCTCCCTCACAGAGCAGAGGAAGGAGGAAGCATCACAGTTGGGTGCAAATTTTATTTCCGTGAAAGCAGGAAACTCTTCTGTAAGAAAAAATGTAAAGATGGAAACAGTCTTGTTGAAACATCCGATGATGCAGCTCAGAACGGCAGATACAGCATTAAATATGAAAACTCATATAATATTATGTATGTGAGCATCACACAGCTGAAACAGTCTGACTCAGGACGGTACAGGTGCTCTTTGGACATTGCTCTACGGCTTGATCCAAACTCTGATTTCGAGCTGATTGTCACAGAAGGTGAGTTTCTGCTAACAGTCGTGTTTGTCTTTGAAGGTGTGACAGAAGCTTCACGTCTCAAAAGCAGCTACTTTTCCTTCAAATCACCTACAGATGTTATATTTATCTGAAACATCAAGTTTCATCAGTTCTGCTGTCAAACAGCCCATAACCATGTCAGTCACATGCAGATATATAAACTGCTTCAAGTGGTCTTATTATGACTCTGATGGTTTCATTGTTCACAGCTTCAACCACTTCAACACCAAATGGGACTCTGAGACCTTTTTCAGCTTCAGTGTTTCTCTCATCAGCCTCCACACCACCAACAGCACAGAGTTTAAGCTCAACTTCAGGAAGCTCCACACCTTCATCGGCCTCGTCTGGAAGTTCAGGTACGTTATAGATTTTATACACCTCATTCCAAATTATTATGCAAATTGTGTTTAAGGATTAAATAAGTTTTTTTTTCAATTAAACCCATGGATGGAATTGTGTCTCAGGGCTCTTTGCATGACTGAAATCAATCTCGGACACCTATCATTAGTTTGCCAGGTGAGCCCAATTAAAGGAAAAACTACTAAAGCAGGATGTTTCGCATTATTGAGCACACCACCATTTTCAAGCAATAGGAAGGAAAAATGATCTCTCTGCTGCTGAAAAGCATGAAACAGTTGAATGCCTTGGACATGTAATGAAAAACTCAGCTATTTCGAAAAACTTAAGCGTGATCAGCATGTTAAGAGATTTGTGGTTGTGCCGACTGTCATTTGAATCGACTACTTAGGAAAATCGGAGGAAAATGTAATTTGCATAATGATTTGGAACGCGGTGTATATGTACATTTATATGAGTTGAAGATCCATTAATGAGTGAACTACACAAGGATGACACATTAAGAGCTGTGGATGAATCACTCTGATCTTTTAGTGACGTAAAAGAGAAAAACTGTAGAAATAAATGAAAAATAAGTTTCCACCGCAGCAGGTCAGCAGCTGAGAGAGGACACGTTATGATCAGAATAAATTTAAAAGAAATCTGAAACATTTCACTTGCCAGAAAAAAAAACAAATTAATAACTATTTGATACAATAAAGTAAATATAATGTGAATGAGAGCTGGGATTGGCCTGTGGTCATTATTGTTTATACCACAGGCCTATCCCAGCTCTCTGATGCATTCATCATAGAGCGTTTGTAACTGTGGCCCCCAGACTCTGGAACTCCCTTCCTTTGAGCCTGAGATCTGTGGATTCAGTGTTTTCATTCAAAAAACAGCTAAAAACTCATCTTTTTAAACTTGCTTTTGGTTGATTTGTGTTTTTATGTTTTAGCTTTTCTGTGCTTGTTATCTTGAAAGGTGCAATACAAATAAAATGTTACTTTACTTACTTACTTGGTTGTTCTGGATTTATCAGTTCTGCTCTTTTATTGTGTCTACAAAAGCTTAATATTTGCTTATGATCAAATCTTTCCTGTGAATTGATATCTTGAACCAATAAAACCTTTCATTAAAGCAGAAAATGTTTCTTTGTCTTCCTGTGATCACATCAGTTTTAATTTCAAAAGCACGTCATGATGGACTTTTCGTCTGTTTCTCACTTTTTCTACAAATATCTGATTAATTAATCCAATCCAACTTTATTTATAGAGGACTTTAAAAACAACATGTTTGATCAAAGTGCTTTCCAATAAAAAACAGATAAAAGTTAAAAACCATACATTAAACAGACAAAGAAAGTTAAATAACAATAAAATAAATACATAAATTAAAAAATCAGTCAATATTAAAATGATTATAATACAACATGAGTATTTTATTTATACAATAAATGAAATTAACAAAGTAAAAAAGATTGAGAGCGGCCAAAAGCGAAATAAAACTTACTACAAGCTGACTCCTAACACACCTTGGAGAAAAGGTAAATTTTTAAAAGAAATGTAAATATTTCAAGTCTTGGGGCCAGCCTAATATGGAGATATGGAGGGGCAGCTGATTCCATAAATTGGTGGCCACAGAAGCTAAAGCTCGGTCCCCCCAGTGTTTCGGTCTCGACATGGGGACAGCAAGGAGTGACTGGTCAATTGATCTGAGAGACCTTTGTGGAGTGTTTGGGTGCGGAAGGTCTGACAGGTAAACAGGAGTCAGGCCAGCAAACAATAACATTTTTTGCTTTTCTACATTTACTTAAACAAATGTAGGTGAAGAACTTTTATGGTGGTTTTTAGATGTAGAAAAAAATAATTAGTAGGATTGTAGTGTTCTGTTTGATCTGCAGGACTGACAGTGTATTATAACTAACACCTCTTATAAGCATGCTGGAAACAGGCTGGCTTAAATAACTAGTTATTCTTTATTTCCATTTATTTCCATTTAAATATACATACTGGTCTTCTAAAAAGAGTTTTATCTGCTCCACTTCCTGCTAAGTCAAACAGGAGCCTTTATTTTGGAAATTTAAAGGAAGTTCTGCATCACGTTGTTCCAGGTAACTTGACATGCTCGTGATTAGAGACAGAAACTGTCTCGTCTGCTGAAGTTTAGCTCCATCAAAGTTGTCCTTGAGTCAGAGCTGTTGACGTTTATCAGCTGGCCCCTAACAGTCAGATGAATGTTCGGGAGAAGCCGCTAAAATCGCACAAGTTCCGGTTTCATGTGATCAACGATGCTCCGTGTCTCTGTCAGCTGTTTTACTGAGCCATGAGCTCCATGAAGAGAGTCCAGAGATTCCACTAGATGGATCCTTCCAGCGTGACCTCCAGGATCCAGACCTGCACACACACTCAGACTGCAGGGATTTAGGATCGCATCACTCACCCCGAGAGTGTGTGTGTGTGTGTGTGTGTGTGTGTGTGTGTGTGTGTGTGTGTGTGTGTGTGTGTGTGTGTGTGTGTGTGTGTGTGTGTGTGTGTGTGGTTTGAAGGCGTGACCTCGTCATTAAGAGAAGTAAGAAGTTCCTGGTTTGAAGTAAAGAAGAACTGAAGCAGCATTAAACCATCAGAGCTCTGAGATGAAACACACTTTGCTCTGCTTCATCTTCCTCAGTGAGTAAATTCTCTTCTTATTTCTGTCACTTTCTCTGTTCTAACTTTTATTTGTCTCCATTTTATTTTTAAATTTTCAACTTCCTTCTTCATTTCCTTGTTCTCCCTCATAGTTAGTGGTTGTTGTGGTTAAACATGCAGGTTATTAAAAGCATAAGAAAATCTGTGAAATATATAAATCTGTGTGGAATTTAAATGTTTCAACAAACTTTTTTGTAATTTGCAAATTATTTTTAGTTTTAAACCAGTTTGATCCCCAGAAAACTTCTACTTTTTATTGGACACTGAATCTGTAATCAAATACTTTTCGTCTACTCTTCTATGAGAGACAAACTTATAATAGTAGAGCTGATGAAACAAACACTCTGTGTTTCATTTCTTCTCTTAATGAGCTGAAGAGCAACAAAGTGAGAACTGGATGTTTAGCAGCGCGACTAAAATGTTCATTTCACATACAAATATGGAAATAGCTGCTGCTGCTGCCGATGATGATGATGATGATGTCATCAAAGATAAATAAAAGTCAAATTTCATTTTTGTATCTTTTTCACAACCTTAAACTCTGAATCTTCCACATCAGATGCTTTGTGTTCGTGTATAAAACAGGAAGTTTGCTGTTTGCAAATAAAAACGGAAAAATGAAGTTAAGATGAGATACCTTTATTAGTCCCACGAGTGGGAAATTTCAAGTTAACTGAACTTCTGTGATCAGTTCAAATTAATAATCATCTGTCACATTTAATCTATAGTAAGATTGTAACTAATGATTGTTCATCCTTTCAGCAGCACTTCAGGATGGAAACACTGGTTTGGTCAAAGCACAAACTCTCCCTCACAGAGCAGAGGAAGGAGGAAGCATCGCAGTTAAATGCAGGTTTTATTTGTCTGGAAGCAGGAAACTCTTCTGTAAGGAAAAATGTGAAAATGGAAACATTCTTGTTGAAACATCTGATGATGCAGCTCAGAATGGCAGATACAGCATTAAATATGAAAACTCATATAATATTATGTATGTGAGCATCACACAGCTGAAACAGTCTGACTCAGGACGGTACAGGTGCTCTTTGGACAAACACTGGTGGACAGTTGGAAACGATGATTTTGAGCTGATTGTCACAGAAGGTGAGTTTCTGCTAACAGTCGTGTTTGTCTTTGAAGGTGTGACAGAAGCTTCACGTCTCAAAAGCAGCTACTTTTCCTTCAAATCACCTACAGATGTTATATTTATCTGAAACATCAAGTTTCATCAGTTCTGCTGTCAAACAGCCCATAACCATGTCAGTCACATGCAGATATATAAACTGCTTCAAGTGGTCTTATTATGACTCTGATGGTTTCATTGTTCACAGCTTCAACCACTTCAACACCAAACGGGACTCTGAGACCTTTTTCAGCTTCAGTGTTTCTCTCATCAGCCTCCACACCACCAACAGCACAGAGTTTAAGCTCAACTTCAGGAAGCTCCACACCTTCATCGGCCTCGTCTGGAAGTTCAGGTACGTTATAGATTTTTATATGTATGCAGATTTACATGTGATGAAGATCCATTAATGAGTGAACTACACAAGAATGACACATTAAGAGCTGTGGAAGAATCACTCTGATCTTTCAGTGAAGTAAAAGAGGAAAGACTTTAGAAATAAAGAGAAATAAGTTTCCACCACAGCAGGTCAGCAGCTGAGAGAGGACATGGCTGACTTCCTCAGAGCAGCACTGCATGACATCTGTGCTAGATGACAGATATAGACTGTGATTAGTCGCTGTTTGGTTTCAGAGCGTTTTCACAAGTGTCAGTGTAACAGACACAGACAGAGGAAAGCATTGTGGGAGCTGTAGTTGTTACTGAGGGTTTGAAGCAGAATGAGGAGCTGCTCAAGTTTTAGCAGAAAGTACAACAGCAGGAACTTAACACAGAAAACTTGGTGAAAGTATAAAAACTTTCTGTGCTTCTGAGTAACTACTTCATTCAATTCAATTCAATTCAATTTTATTTATATAGCGCCAAATCACAACAAAAGTCGCCTAAAAGCGCTTCATAGATACAGAGAAACACCCAACAATCATATGACCCCCTATGAGCAAGCACTTTGGCAACAGTAGGAAGGAAAAACTCCCTTTTAACAGGAAGAAACCTCCGGCAGAACCAGGCTCAGGGAGAAGCGGCCATCTGCTGCGACCGGTTGGGGTGAGAGAAGGAAGACAAGATAAAGACATGCTGTGGAAGAGAGACAGAGGTTAATAACAGATATGATTCAATGCAGAGAGGTCTATTAATACATAGTGAGTGAGAAAGGTGACTGGAAAGGAAAAACTCAATGCATCATGGGAATCCCCCGGCAGCCTACGTCTATTGCAGCATAACTAAGGGAGGATTCAGGGTCACCTGGTCCAGCCCTAACTATATGCTTTAGCAAAAAGGAAAGTTTTAAGCCTAATCTTAAAAGTAGAGATGGTGTCTGTCTCCCGAATCCAAACTGGAATCTGGTTCCATAGAAGAGGGGCCTGAAAACTGAAGGCTCTGCCTCCCATTCTACTTTTAAATACTCTAGGAACAACAAGTAGGCCTGCAGAGCGAGAGCGAAGTGCTCTAATAGGGTGATATGGTACTACAAGGTCAGATAAGATGGGGCCTGATTATTTAAGACCTTGTATGTGAGGAGCAGGATTTTGAATTCAATTCTGGACTTAATTGGAAGCCAATGAAGGGAAGCCAAAACAGGAGAAATCTGCTCTCTCTTTCTAGTCCCTGTCAGGACTCTTGCTGCAGCATTTTGGATTAGCTGAAGGCTTTTCAACAAGTTTTTTGGACATCCTGATAATAATGAATTACAGTCGTCCAGCCTGGAAGTAATAAATGCATGAACTAGTTTTTCAGCGTCACTCTGAGACAGGATATTTCTAACTTTAGAGATGTTGCGCAAATGGAAGAACGCAGTCTTACATATTTGTTTAATATGTGCATTGAAGGACATGTCCTGGTCAAAAATGACTCCAAGGTTCCTCACAGCGTTACTGGAGGCCAAGGTAATGCCATCCAGAGTAAGAATCTGCTTAGATACCATATTTCTAAGATTTTCAGGGCCGAGTACAATAACCTCAATTTGATCTGAATTAAGAAGCAGAAAGTTAGCGGCCATCCAGGTCTTTATGTCTTTAAGACATCCCTGCAGTTTAACTAATTGGTGTGTGTTATCTGGCTTCATGGACAGATAGAGCTGGGTGTCATCAACATAGCAGTGAAAATGTATGCTATGTATTCTAATGATACTGCCTAAGGGAAGCATGTATAATGTAAACAGAATTGGTCCTAGCACTGAACCCTGTGGAACTCCATAATTAACCTCAGTGTGTGAAGAGGACTCTCCATTTACATGCACAAACTGGAGTCTATTAGATAGATATGATACAAACCACTGCAGCGCAGTACCTGTAATACCTCCAGCATGTTCTAATCGCTCTAATAGGATATTATGGTCGACAGTATCGAACGCTGCACTGAGGTTTAGCAGGACAAGCACAGAGATGAGTCCACTGCCAGAGGCCATAAGAAGATCATTTGTAACCTTCACTAAAGCTGTTTCTGTGCTGTGATGAACTCTGAAACCTGACTGAAACTCTTCAAATAAACCATTCCTCTGCAGATGATCTGTTAGCTGTTTGACAACTACTCTTTCAAGGATGTTTGATATGAAAGGAAGGTTGGAGATTGGCCTATAATTAGCTAAGACTGCTGGGTCTAGAGATGCTTTTTGAGTAAAGGTTTAACTACAGCCAGCTTGAAGGCCTGTGGTACATAGCCGATCATTAGAGATAGGTTGATCATATTTAAGATCGAAGAATTAATTAATGGCAGGACTTCTTTGAGCAGTTTTGTAGGAATGGGGTCTAAAAGACACGTTGATGGTTTGGAGGAAGTAATTATTGAAGTTAACTCAGAAAGATCAATTAGAGAAAAAGAGTCTAACTTCACATCAATGGTACTAAGAGTAGCTGTAGATAATATTACATCTGTGGGATGATTATTGGTAATTTTTTCTCTAATGATAAAAATTTTATTTGTGAAGAAGTTCATGAAGTCATTACTAGTTAACGTTAAAGGGATGGTTGGCTCAAAAGAGCTCTGACTTTTTGTCAGCCTGGCTACAGTGCTGAAGAGAAACCTGGGGTTGGTCTTATTTTCTTCAATCAGTGATGAATAGTAAAATGTTCTGGCTTTGCGGAGGGCTTTCTTATAAAGCAGCAAACTATTTCTCCAGGCTAAATGATGATCCTCTAGATTTGTGACACGCCATTTCCTCTCCAGATTACGAGTCATCTGCTTTAGGGTACGTGTTTCAGAATTATACCACGGAGTCAATGGCGTGTCCAGCGGGGTGGCCTGGGGGGCACAGGCCACCCCCCAAACCAGACTGGCCACCCCAGGTGCCACCCCAAAGGCAAAACAATAAAATTCAATCAAATATCAAATGTCCGATTATGTTTTCACGGTGACGCTCAGATATCCGAGTGTAAGTGAATGCAGCATCGCTTCTGCGCTATGCGCATCACGTTAGCAAAGGTAGGAGAGCCAAGCGCGAAAGATGGCACTGCAGGAAACAATTTTTCGGTGAAAGAAAATGAGGACAGAATAAATGTCCCGGTAAGTAATATCAAGTTTGTTGAGTTTAGTAAACTTCGGTGAAATTAGAATACCAAGGAAAAAAATAACACTTAAAGAATTATTGCAGCTGTGGAATATTTCAGACAGTATGCTACTGAGGGGAGCTAACATAAGAGTTATGAGTTATAAGATGTAATCTAAGTCGTAACATTGCTGTATGGAGCTGCAGATTTGGTTGCAGGTTAACATAGCTGGATTGGCCATCGGGCATACCGGGCATATCCCCAGTGACTTATTTTTTATTTTTTTTTGTAATGGCATGAACAATGACAGGTGGTGGATTGGCCAGATGCAGGTCGATGTGTAGAAATAACTCCGTTGTTTGGTGGTGGCTATGACGGGGCTTCCACAGAGGCAACAGGTGGATGAGGGAAGGGGAGGCAGGAGGAGAGACCCGAAGCAGCCACCAGTCCGAGTGTCAGGTGAACTGAACTTCAGGTAAGAAGTTATGACCTGCAGTCTATCTGGGTCAGATATAAACCAAGTTTAGGTGGAGTTTATTTTCATGTTGCTGACTTTTTACTGTCAGTTGCAATAACTCATACTGCGTTCTAGCCAGTTTGACGGAGTTTTTATACAGCTGGGTGGGTGCTATGATGTTACTGATAGTGAACTTTATTTTATTCATAAGGTTAGTAGAGTTGCCAACGGCTCCTTAAAAAAATGGAATGGTCCCTCATTCAGAGAAAATATTACGCGTTTCGTATTGAGCTGAGAAGAGACGCAGTTTGTCCCGGACTTTAGCTAGAATGGAAAAAAGGCACAAAGCTGGATTTATTCTGTCTTTATGCTGCACAGCTGCCTCTTCTCTCATTCTCTCCCCCTCCCTCTCCTGTTGCTACTTCAATCATGAAACTGATCAATGATCAGCTGATCGGCTTTTCTCTCTTGTTTATCGCCCACTTTGCGCCAGAAAGAGGAAACCAGCAGATGTTGCGCTAAACAACAGCAGCACGTTTAAGCTTGATCGGCTGTTGTTAGAATGTATTTAATATTAATTTCTAGTATCAGCTGATGTTTGCTGGAGCCACAGCTGTAAAGCTGCTGGTCATGATGTCTGTTTAGATATGTGGTGAGAGGGAAACATGAAGATGAAACCAGGAGATGTCCTTACTGAACCATCAGAGCTGAACAGGTGATGGAGAAACAGGTTTACCTTTTAGGTGACATGAATGAGTTGAAGGTATGAACTGTTTCTGAGAGACAAATAACACCAGGATCCTTTTTATGTAGCAGACAGCTGGTAACTGTGCAGGGGCGGGTCTAGCAAAGTTTTGCCAGGGGCCAGGTAGGGCATTAACAGGGAAAGGTGGGCACAAAGAAATACTTTTCTTTCTTATTCTCATTTAAAATACCTAGTTTTTATTAAATAATTATCTAAATCTTACAACCAAAGTTTTTATCTGACGTAAAATGTATAGAAATCATACATATACCAACAAGACTGTACATCACTGTCACAACAGGGTTTGTTTTCAGTCAAAGTCTTTATGGCTTTACTACCTGGTGGGCCGGTCTGTAGTAAAAATGCCCAATTTTTTTGTCCCAGTCCAGCCCTGCAGGTTAATACTGGCAGTGTCACCATGCCAGCTGACTGTATTTTATCATCAGCCAGTGTTGTTCTTTATCAATATTACCAAAGTTTACCATAAGGCAGCATAGAAAGTATTTACTTGCTTTCAGGTTTTATTCAAATGTTAGTCTTTTCAGTTGTTTCCCCACTTTTTTCCTGTTTCAAAATCAAACACCAGTTTGTGAGAAGATTATCTTCTTTTTTTAACAGGCAGATAAAGTTTTGCATTGGCATTGGCTAATTTGTCAATTGTTTGTTACAAATGTTCGTATTTTAATTTTCAAAAATGTTTTTGCCCAAAACATATGTGCACTATATGTCAGTAAAAATACTATGCAAATATTGTTGTCCTTGACTGCTGAGTAAACACTGACAAAGCACTGGTTGTATCTCTTGTACTTTATCAACGCAGTATCTAAAAACTTTGCACCGTAGTGGTTAAAATCTCATTCTAATAAGAGTTAAAAGTGCATTTGGTTATTAGGTTTATAGGATTATTGAATTATGGTTAAGGGTTGGTAGAATTTTTTTTTAAAACATTATCTGCCAATTAAATCTGCCACCCTTCTCCAAATCTGTGCCCCTACCTGGCCCCCCCAACAAAAATTATCTAGACACGCCACTGCACGGAGTCAGGTACTTCTGATTTGAGGCCTTAGTTTTCACAGGAGCTACAGTATCCAGAGTCGTACGTAGTGAGGAGGTGAAATTATTAACAAGATAATCGACCTCTGTTGGGGTAGCGTTCAGATAGCTGCTCTGCTCTGTGTTGGTACAGGGCATTGGAGATGATAACAGTGGGTGGATTATATTCTTAAACTTAGTTACAGCACTTTCAGAAAGACATCTACTTTGATAAAGTCTACTCTCCACCGCTGTGTAATCAATTATTGTAAATGTTATCAGGAAATGATTAGACAGGAGAGGGTTTTCAGGAAACACTGTTAAATGTTCAGTTTCTATGCCATATGTTAAAACAAGATCTAGAGTGTGATTAAGGTGGTGGGTGGGTTCTTTTACATTTTGAGAGAAACCAATTGAGTCTAATAACAGACTAAATGCCATGTTGAGGCTGTCATTTTTAGCATCTACATGGATGTTAAAATCAGCCACAATAATCATTTTATCTGAGCTCAGAACTAAATTAGATATAAAGTCTGAGAAATCAGACAGAAACTCTGTGTAAGGCCCAGGTGGACGATGATAACAAGTAGGACTGGTTTCAGAGTTTCACAGCTGGGGTGGACAATGTTAAGCATCAGGCTTTCAAATGAATTAAAAGTCTGTCTTGGTCTTTCATTAATTAATAGGCTGGTGTGAAAAATTGCTGCCACACCGCCCCCTCGGCCTGTGCTATGGGCTCAAAATGTGGTCATAAATATTTTGTACTTGTAAAAAAGATTTGTATGTGTAAAAAAGATTTGTGTGTGCGTAAAAAAGATTTGTATGTGTAAAAAGAATTTGTGTGTGCGTAAAAAAGATTTGTGTGTGTAAAAAAGATTTGAGTGTGTAAAAAAAGATTTGAGTGTGCGTAAAAAAAGATTTGAGTGTGCGTAAAAAAAGATTTGAGTGTGCGTAAAAAAAGATTTGAGTGTGTAAAAAGAATTTGTGTGTGCCTAAAAAAGATTTGTATGTGTAAAAAAGATTTGTGTGTGGACATAGAAAAAAAACCCCTGCAAGTTACAAGTACGGATTTTGACCCTATTTTTCTTCCTTTCATCTGATTGGTCAATGTCATGTCAATCACAAATGTAACAATCCAATCAGAGAACAGATGGGTTTGGCTGTCAGAGGGCCGCTTTTTTGAACTGCAGGTCCTTGAAGGGTAATACAGTTTGAAGCTGGAGGATCGCTATATAAATATCCGATAGCAGCTAGGTCCCCTAACTTTCAGTAGCTGTTGAAAGGATAAAGTTGTGGTATATCAGTGGTTAGAAATACCATTATTACTTTAGGATTAGTTTAACACAAAGTCAGGGCTGACCCAGGACCATTGCTGTGAGTCACAGTGCGCAGCATAAAAGTCCTTTCACATCGGACGCAGAATGTGCTGCTAATGCTAACTGCTAACTAAAAGCAAAGGATCCAGAATTTGTTATGCTGGCTGCTGGGCTCTGTGGGTTTTTGCAGCAGCTCTACCTGTATTAAATGCACCTGCTCCTTGTCTTTTCTATCTCTGACTTTATGTCCTCTACAAGAGTTTGTTTTTTTTGCTGGTTCTTCAAATGTTCAATAAAAACATGTATGCTAATTCATAACGAAGAAAGCTTTGTAATGAAGACTGTCATTTCCAAAACACTGCCCCCACCCCGCAGTCCGCAGTGCTGTTGAAAAGGCTGTGGAAGTCCCTGTATTAAACACGTAGACCTGTGACACAAAAATCACCAAACTCTGACGACCACAGACTGTTTTCCTTCGTGGTGATGAAGGAAAACGCTGGGTTGGCATGTAAAAGGGCATTTATTCCCTTCAAAGACCTGCAGTTCAAAAAAAGCGCCCCTCGACAGCCAAACCCATCTGTTCTCTGATTGGATTGTTACATTTGTGATTGACATGACATTGACCAATCAGATGAAAGGAAGAAAAATAGGGTCAAAATCCGTACTTGTAACTTGCAGGGGGTTTTTTTCTAAGTCCACACACAAACCTTTTTTTACGCACACACAAATCTTTTTTACAAGTACAAAATATTTATGACCACATTTTGAGCCCATACTGTGCGTCGAGGTTTCTGGTAGTTAGAATGAATCCTGCTGCAACCAGGTTTCTGTAAGGCAGAGTAAATCAATTTATTGATCAATTATTAAGTCATGTACTAACAGAGACTTGGAGGAGAGAGACCTAATATTTAATAATCCACATTTCACTGTTTTACTCTTTGGTTCAGATGTGGATACTGTATTGTTCTTTCTTTGTGATTGTTTATGTTTAAGTTGTTTGTTGCTGGTTTTTAGTTTGTTTTTTGTCTTTTTGGAAGCTGACACAGTCTCTATGGAGATGGGTTTTTGGGGGGTATAGCAGGAGGAGAGAAGCTGCAGAGAGGCGTGTAAGACTGCAACTCTGCTTCCTGGTCCCAACTCTGGATAGTCATATTTTGGGGGGTTTAATAAATTTGTCCATATTTCTAGAAATGAGAGCTGCTCCATCCAAAGTGGGATGGATGCCGTCTCTCCTAACAAGACCAGGTTTCCTCCAGAAGGTTTTCCAATTATCTATGAAGCCCACATCGTTTCTGGGACACCACTCAGACAGCCAGCAATTTAAGGAGAACATGCAGCTAAACATGTCACTCCTGGTCTGATTGGGGAGGGGACCAGGGAAAACTACAGAGTCCGACATTGTTTTGGCAAAGTTGCACACCGATTCAATATTGATTTTAGTGACCTCCGATTGGCGTAACGGGGTGTCATTACTGCCGACGTGAATTATGATCTTACTGAATTTACGTTTACCCTTAGCCAGCAGTTTTAAATTTCCTTCAATGTCGCCTGCTCTGGCCCCTGGAAGACAATTGACTATGGTTGCCAGTGTCTCTAGCTTCACATGTCTGAGAACAGAATCGCCAATAACCAGAGTTTGACCCCCGGCGGGTGTGTCGCCGACTGGGGAAAAACGATTAGACACATGAACGGGTTGGTGGTGTACCTGGGGCTTCTGTTTAGGACTATGCTTCCTCCTCACTGTGACCCAGCCGCCCTCTTTCCCCAGCTGCTTGGGATCTGCCGGGGAACAGCTAGCGGGGCCTACGCTATCTTCGGCTGCACCAGCTACAGGGGCCTGGCTAGCTACGGGTGAATGAAGGGTGCGAAGCCGAGTCTCCAATTCAGTAACCCTGGCCTCCAGAGCTGCAAATATTTTACATTTGTTACAGATATCATTACTGCTAAAGGAGGCCGAGAAGTAACTAAACATCTGACACAATGAGCAAGAAAGTGCAGGAGGGACAGGTGAAGTAGCCATGGTGCTAATGAGTCGGCTACAAGCTAGCGAGACAGTACAGAGACAGTGAGTGAATACTTTGGCTATAAATTAAGTTGTGAGTACACAAAAAGTGTGCTTCGGATGAAGCACGTGAAGATTATACTATGAAAGAAGAATGTATTTAAAAGTTGTTAATTAAATTGCTAAGCAAATAAGCTACTCAGAAACACCACTGTGTTTGAGCAGGAACAGGAAGTGATACTCTACCACAGAGCGAGCGAACACCAAGTGACAGCGCCACCAAGAGAATCAACCTAATTTCATGCACAATAAAAAATTAACAAAAGACAACAACTCAGGACTCTACAGGAGTAACACGATGACGACCGCACACACTGCCTCAAACGGCCCAACAGCACAGCTTTTCCTCTTTATATGCCCCGCCCACAATTATGAGAGGAAACGCCTGTGGTCAGTTGTTACACCACCACTGCTGTAACAACTGTTTACACTGTGTGAGTAAAAGAAATCTTCTCTGCAGGTGTGCCGCTTTATGTGCGTCTGATTGTGGTCGTTGTCATCAGCATCTTTTTAGCATCTTTGCTGATGAAGAGCAGAGCCACTAAACCCAGAGGTGAGGCTACAGGAAACACATGACAACAGTGTTGTCATCACTTCAGAGCTCATCACACTAATGCACATTCATTTCCTGGAGTCTAATACCTCAGTGAACAAGTTTTAATAGTAAACATTTAAGAGTACACATTGTAGGAAATTACTCATCATGTCACAGTGGAAACAGATTTATGTGCTAACAACAGGAGTCAGACGAGAAAAATGCAAAGAAAACGCCTGAAATCAGCTTCTGTCTGTCAACAGATGCAGTTTATTTAGTAGGAAAATATCATTTTCGTCATTTTATATACAGAAAAGCCAAACAGAGCCTGGCACAGAGATTCTTCCTCAACAAAATAATCACAGTTTGTACAAAGTTTGTTTAATTCTTCTGTAACAGTCGGCCTGATAAAAGTGTGTCCATCAAGCTTATTAGAGTTAACTAAAACTAAACTAAAAGCTTAAAGTAGTGAATGAACTAAAATGATCTTTAATAAGATCAAATAAAAATATACAGGAACTGTTCTTAGTTTGCTGTTGTTGTGGTTCATATTGGCGGCACATGCATCAGTAACTGATTACTGCCAGTTATCATCGTCGATCCTGAGTTTACTTCCTCAGGTTCTACTTGGTGAACACGTCTTAAAGACTGATGTTTATCTTCTGATGTTTTTTCAGGACCTCCTGTGGAATCTGAGCGTGCTGACATCACACAGGTGAGTTTTAGGAATTGTGAGACAGCTGAGCTTCATCACAGCTTGATTTGTATCAAGCAGCTGGTTTGATCTCCTTCTGCAGGACAAGCAGTTGTGTGAAGAGATCAGAGAGGAGGACAGACAGAGCAGTTCACCTCCTGCAGGAGTGTGTTCAGTGTACGCTACACCAAAAGCCTTCAGCCAGATGGAGATGGAAACACAGACCTCTGCAGCCTCTCCACCTCTGCTCACAACAAAGTAAAACTGTGGTCTGATTCTAGGCTCTTTGATTTTTACCATAGCATCTCTTTCTACCAGCTAATATTAATGATGAGGAATGCACAAAGTCAATGCAGACTCTCTGCTCCCAGTTTATTAGGTACAGCTAGTTAAAACAGTCCAATAATAAAATCTTTAATTTGTTATTAGAGATGATGATGATTGTTGTTATTTGTGGTACAGTTGTTAGTGTTTTGGATATTTTCATTATTTTGTTCATTTCTGCTTCATGCACAGGCTGAGGGTAACTTTATCATTTAATTTAGAGTCTGAAGTTTGATGTCAGGCTAACGATGACATGAATGGAGTTGATTACGCTGAAGTTGACTTCACATATTCCCACCACCAACAGCGCCCCCCAGTGGTGATGCAGCTGATGTCGTCTCCTCCAGGCTTCAGGCGCATGCCAGCCCTGCCAACCACACCACAGATCTCCTCTGCTGCTGAAAAACATCAGCAGTGATGCTGTTGATGGAACCTCAGTGACTAAAACAGTTTATGACGTTTATCACCTGCAGACAAACAATCAGCCTCAGTTTAAAGCTTTTTAATTGCAGCTGCTTATAATTTAGTTTAACAGATAATTGATTGTTTTTCATTTTCTCAAACTGGAATATTTCCCAGTTTGAAAAACTATTCTTGCTATAGTGATTCTGTCGGACAGATTCAGTGAGAGAGCTGCACAAAATGATGCATATAGGAGGGAGTATGGAGAGTTATTAGATCAGCCAGCAGGTAGGCTGTTCTTGGAGGGAGGTCCTTAGATGTAGTCATGAAAAACGCTCCAGGTGGCTGATTTTGCATGTGCTCAACTATTTATGATGATGTGTATTTAAACTAAACCACTGGAACTCAGCTAAACTGCTGTGTCACCTGTCTGTGTTGTCAAATCAGACACAAAGAATTTAACATGGAAATATTTTCTAATATAAAAACAATAAAATGAAGATAAACACTTGGTAAATATTTCCCTTCACAGCTCAAGTGTCAGAAGAGACTGGATGAAGGTCTGAATGTCAAAAGATTCAAGTTATGATCAGAATAAATTTAAAAGAAGTCTGAAATATTTTATTTGCCAGAAAAAACATTTGATAAATATTTGACACAATAAAGTAAATATAATGTGAACGAGAGCTGGGTTTGGCCTGTGATCATTATTGTTTATACTTATTCTGGATTTATCAGTTCTGCTCTTATTGTGTCAACAAAAGCTTAATATTTGCTTATGATCAAATCTGTTTTGTGAATTTATATCTTGAAGCAATAAAACCTTCCATTAAATTAGGAACTGTTTCTTTGTCTTCCTGTGATCACAGCCAGTCTCCCATCCCCAAGTCTTCATTTGTTGCTGCTCAGTTTTAATTTCAAAAGCACGTCATGATGGACTTTTCATCTGTTTCTCACTTTTTCTACAAATATCTGATTAATTAATCAAATCCAACTTTATTTATAGAGGACTTTAAAAATAACATGTTTGTCCAAAGCTTTCCAATAAAAAACAGAAGTTTAAAAACCACAGATTAAACAGACAAGCTAAGTTAAATAACAATAAAATAAATACATAAATGAAAAAAGTAAATAAGTAAATATTCAATATTAAAACATTAGTAAAATACATGATTATTTTATTCATATAATAAATAAAATTAACAAATTTAAAATACAGATTGAGAGCAGCCTACTACAAGTTGATTCTGGTAATACTCCTAAAAAACCATGAAGAAAATGTGCGTTTTTAAAAGAGATTTAGAAATTTCAAGTGTTGGGGCAGATTATTCCAGAAATTGGTGGCCACAGAAGCTAAAGCTCGGTCCCCCCAGTGTTTCGGTCTCGACATGGGGACAGCAAGGAGTGACTGGTCAGCTGATCTGAGAGACCTTTGTGGAGTGTTTGGGTGCGGAAGGTCTGACAGGTAAACAGGAGTCAGGCCAGCAAACAATAACATTTTTTACTTTTCTACATTTACTTAAACAAATGTAGGTAAAAAAAAAAGTTTTATGCTGATTTTTAGATGTAGAAAAAATTAATTAGTAGGATTGTAGTGTTCTGTTTGATCTGCAGGACTGACAGTGTATTATAACTAACACCTCTTATAACCATGCTGGAAACAGGCTGGCTTAAATAACTAGTTATTCTTTAGTTCCATTTATTTCCATTTAAATATACATACTGGTCTTCTAAAAAGAGTTTTATCTGCTCCACTTCCTGCTAAATCGAACAGGAGCCTTTATTTTGGAAATTTACAGGAAGTTCCGCATCGCGTTGTTCCAAGTAACTTGACACGGTCGTGATTAGAGACAGAAACTGTCTCGTCTGCTGAAGTTTAGCTCCATCAAAGTTGTCCTTGAGTCAGAGCTGTTGAAGTTTATCAGCTGGCCCCTAACAGTCAGATGAATGTTCGGGAGAAGCCGCTAAAATCGCACAAGTTCCGGTTTCATGTGATCAACGATGCTCCGTGTCTCTGTCAGCTGTTTTACTGAGCCATGAGCTCCATGAAGAGAGTCCAGAGATTCCACTAGATGGATCCTTCCAGCGTGACCTCCAGGATCCAGACCTGCACACACACTCAGACTGCAGGGATTTAGGATCGCATCACTCACCCTCGACTGGTGAGAGAGGAGTGTGTGTGTGTGTGTGTGTGTGTGGTTTGAAGGCGTGACCTCGTCATTAAGAGAAGTAAGAAGTTCCTGGTTTGAAGTGAAGAAGAGCTGAAGCAGCATTAAACCATCAGAGCTCTGAGATGAAACACACTTTGCTCTGCTTCATCTTCCTCAGTGAGTAAATTCTCTTCTTATTTCTGTCACTTTCTCTGTTCTAACTTTTATTTGTCTCCATTTTATTTTCATTTGTAGGTAATCGCTGGTTTCTGTGGTTAAACATAGTGTGAAGTTTGGAAATGAATCAAACATGCAGCTTATTGAAAGCATAAGAAAACTCCTTGAAATGTATAAACATGTGGAATTTAAATGTTTCCACAAACTTGTTTCGTGCCGTTTGCAAATTATTTTGTTTCACACCAGTTTGATCCCCAAAATTTCTACTTTATGTTGTAGACAGAATCTGTAATCAAATACTTTTCCTCCTCTTTGAGAGACAGACTTACAGCACTGATGAAACGGCACTCTGTGTTTCATTTCTTTTTGAACTGAAACGTTTGGATGTTTAGCAGCAGATGTAAAACACTCATTTCACATGCAAACATAGAAACAGATGATGATGATGTCATCAAAGATTAATAATAATGAATCTTTTTCACAACCTTAAACTCTGAATCTTCCACATCAGATGTTTTGTGTTCGTGTATAAAACAGGAAGTTTGCTGTTTGCAAATAAAAACAGAAAAATGAAGTTAACGTAATTGAACTTCTGTCATCAGTTCAAATTAATAATCATCTGTCACATTTAATCTATAGTAAGATTGTAACTAATGATTGTTCATCCTTTCAGCAGCACTTCAGGATGGAAACACTGGTTTGGTCAAAGCACAAACTCTCACCCACAGAGCAGAGGAAGGAGGAAACATCACAGTTGGGTGCAACTTTTATTTGTCTGGAAGCAGGAAACTCTTCTGTAAGGAAAAATGTAAAGATGGAAACAGTCTTGTTGAAACATCCGATGATGCAGCTCAGAACGGCAGATACAGCATTAAATATGAAAAAACAGACACTCTGTCATATACTCTGTATGTGAGCATCACACAGCTGAAACAGTCTGACTCAGGATGGTACAGGTGCTCTTTGGATAGAACTTTGGCTCCAGATGGAAACTATGATTTTGAGCTGATTGTCACAGAAGGTGAGTTTCTGCTAACAGTCGTGTTTGTCTTTGAAGGTGTGACAGAAGCTTCACGTCTCAAAAGCAGCTACTTTTCCTTCAAATCAAAGTTCTGCTGTCAAACAGCCCATAACCATGTCAGTCACATGCAGATATATAAACTGCTTCAAGTGGTCTTATTATGACTCTGATGGTTTCATTGTTCACAGCTTCAACCACTTCAACACCAAACGGGACTCTGAGACCTTTTTCAGCTTCAGTGTTTCTCTCATCAGCCTCCACACCACCAACAGCACAGAGTTTAAGCTCAACTTCAGGAAGCTCCACACCTTCATCGGCCTCGTCTGGAAGTTCAGGTACGTTATAGATTTTTATATGTATGCAGATTTACATGTGATGAAGATCCATTAATGAGTGAACTACACAAGAATGACACATTAAGAGCTGTGGAAGAATCACTCTGATCTTTCAGTGACGTAAAAGAGGAAAGACTTTAGAAATAAAGAGAAATAAGTTTCCACCACAGCAGGTCAGCAGCTGAGAGAGGACATGGCTGACTTCCTCAGAGCAGCACTGCATGAGATCTGTGCTAGATGACAGATACAGACTGTGATCAGCACATTTCTGCCTTCTGCAGCACAACTTGTTACTCTCTGTGTGCACAACTTTACTGCTAAATGAACAGATGTTGAGACCACATGTTTACACTGTGAGTAAAAGAAATCTTCTCTGTTAAACTCCTGCAGATTTTCTGATTTATGTGGGTCTGATTCTGCTCGTTATGATCGTCGTCTTATCAGCAGCTCTGCTGATTTTCTACATGAAGAGAAGGACCACTAAACCCAGAGGTGAGGCACAGATTTAATATTCTGTCAAACAATAGAAATGTCAAAACATAGCATGTATGCTATAATCTGCTGCCTTATTCAGTGTACTGGTAAATAATCTGCCTTTAAAAGGTGTTTATGATGACAAAGTATAATTTTTTATCACCATTTAAACACAACAACCAAATAGAAAAGAGTTTTTCTCTTCCACAGTTTTCCATTTTTTGTTGTATCAGCGTAACTCTGATCCAGTCACCACGATGAGAGTGTGTCTACGTCATGTTAACACCAGATAATCTCAGACTGACAGAGCTGCTGTGAAAACAGACCGTTGGACTGAAAGGTGTTACTGATCGGATGGTGACGATCACCAAGAGTCTCACTTGGATATGTTCAAAAAGAATCCTTCAAAATAAGTTTTATCAAATAACCATAAAACACAGGGAAACATGGCACCATGGTTGATCTGTCTCAGCTCAGAATGTCCCAGTTTGCATGAATTAAGTCAGGTGTGACGTTTCTGTCACACTGTTTTCACCTTTGTAGTTCAGTCTGTTTGTAAAAAGAGCACCGGATGTTCATTTATGACTCACAACAGAAACTGGTGGTAGCAGATTTGATTGATATAGTTTTGATTCTTTATCAGTCATGTGTCTTATCTAACTGTAGTTCATATGAAGTTCCTGAGTTTAGTTCCTCAGGTTCTTCTTCCTGTTATGTGTCTTAAAGACAGCTGTTTATTTTCTGACCTGCATGTTTTTCAGGACCTCCTGTGGAAACAGACACAGAGGTGGGTTTTAGGACCTGTGACACACATCAGCTTCATTATTGTTTGCTTTGCATCTGTCAGCTGGTTTATTCTCCTGCTGCAGGCCGACAGGTTGTATGAAGAGATCAGAGAGGGTGACGTAGCGAGCAGGTCACCTCCTGTAAAAGTGTCTTCAGTTTATGATTACGCCAAAGGTCCCCGTTCAGGTGGAGATGAAAGCGGAGGCATCTACAGCCTCGTCACCTCTGCTCAGAACAACGTAAGTAAAACTGTGGTCTGATTCTAAGCTGAGGCCATAAACCAGGTAACTGTTTGTGTAGTGAAGTAATTCATCTGTTCTCTGACAACAAACTCAGATTCTAAAGTTTGATCTCACTTTTGTATCCCAGGTTGAAGACAACTCGCATAGTCTCTGTTACTCTGAGGTGGATTTTTCCCACAGTCCTGACACAAACGGCGCCCCCTGTGGTAACACAGCTGATGTTGTCTACTCCAAGTCTTCAGAGGACCTCAGCACCACCAACCACACCAAAGATGCTTCACCTCCTCTGTACTCTACTGTTACATCAGTATGAACTACATCAGGACTTAAGCTATGGATGAAGTCTTAACTCTCTCAGTGGACAACAGCTCAACACAAAAGTTTATTTATTTTTCTGCTTTTGACATATTTTTAAGTTAAACATGTCAGCCTCGGGATAAAGTGACTTTTATTTTTGCTTAACATTGAACTAAAGAATGTTGCAATACCACAGTTATAATAGCATATGTTAGCATTATGGTATGATGCTACAGCACAGATCCAATAAGAAGAGAACTGTGCATTTTGAAGACTTCCAGCCTCCTGTACTCGTCTCTGGAGTGTTCCATCATTGCATTTAGCAGTTGAGACTGCAGAAAGTTAATGTACAGACCGCTGTGTGAGGATGAATGTTGCAGAGTGATTAGGTCAGCCCGGACATTTCACCTCTTTCAGATGACGTTTAGCTGAGAAAAGCCACAGCATGCAGATAAATAAACTACTTCATGTGGTGTTATTATGACCGATTGTTTCACTCTTCACAAGTCAGTCATAGCAGACCCAAATATAGCAGAAATAGATTTTCAGCCTTCTGTACAGAGGACAAAAAACAGGTTATTATAGCTAATTTTTGATGCATGACAGGATAGTTTTATATTGCTCCCTCATTTCCATTTTGAAGTTTAAAAATCACACAAAGTTGAAAAAACAACTGGATATAAGGCGGGCGGTCCTCTACCAGAGGCCTGGGAGCTTGAGGGTCCTACGCAGATCCATCTTTGCTGTTCCAGGACTGCGCTCTTCTGGACAGAGCTCTCGGATGTTGTTCCTGGGGTCTGGTGGAGCCACTCCTAGCTTGGGAGTCACTGCACCGAGCGCTCCGATTACCACTGGGACCACCGTTACCTTCACCCTCCACATCTTCTCTAGCTCTTCTCTGAGCCCTTAATACTTCTCGTGTTCCTTCTTCCTGATGTTGCTGTCATATTGCTACATCTATCACTATGGCCGTCTTTCTCTGCTCGTCCACCACTTTTCTTTCCGGCCATCCCCATTTGTCTGTCTGTATCTGGAAATCCCACAGGATCTTAGCTCAGTCATTCTCCACCACCCTAGGGGGGCATCTTCCATTTTGACCTCAGGACTTTCAGGCCATACAGATGTTCCTGTATACTATTCCGGCTTGATAATGGAATTCCATGTATTCACTTCCTGCTAGCATCATACACCCTGCTGTTATGTGCTGGATTGTCTCAGGGGGATCTTTACACAGCCTGCACCTGATCACGGGCAAGGCGTAGGTGTCGATAGCCCGGATCTTGTTCTTACCGGTCAGCTGACTCCTCAGGACTTGCCTGACCCTCTGCCAGTACTTGGTGGTTGCAGCTTTCCTAGCGGCCTCTCCACTGTTTCCATTTGGTTGTGGGATTCCCAAATACTTGTAGCTGTCCTCGATGTTTGCAGTGTTGCCCTCTGGTAGTGCATCAGTGAATTGATGTCTCATTTACTCATACAGCTTGATGTTATCCATGTAGAAGATGGGCTGACAATTGCTCCGTTCCGTAGTCGGTATCCATAGCCAGTCTTGTCAATGATCTCACTGAGAGGGTTCAGGCCTATGCAGAACAGCAGTGGGGACAGAGCATCTCCTTGGTAGATCCCACACTTTATGGTAACATGCTATTGGCTTAAAGTAGGCCTCCAGTGTTGTACGCCACATCCCCATTGAGTTCCTGTTGATCTTGTACAATTCTCGGCATTCCAGGATCCAGCTGTGGGGCATCCAGTCATAGGTCTTCTTGTAGTTAATCCAGGCAGTGCACAGGTTGGTGAGCCTGGTCTTGCAGTCTTGGGCGACTGTTTCGTCCACCAGTAGCTGGTGTTTCACTCCTCCGGTATACTTGCCAAGTCATTTCTGTGCCCCGTTCATGTTAGCCACTGTGATGCCTGACAGGAGCTTCCATGTGGTAGTTGGAGATATATATTGTGATTCCACGGCAGCTAAATATTTCAATGTATAAAGTTATTGTTGCACATGTATCAGTGTTTTGACTGTTTTTCCTTTACAGACTTGTTCTTTAAATAATTAACTGTAACAAATTAACATCAACTTTATACCTAAACAACAACAAAAAAATGAAGAGATGCAGTAATTTACATATTTTAATGAAAATAAACATAAACATTGGCATTTTAACAGTGTATGGTCTTTATCCTTTACAAAATATCTTATAAATATTACAATACACACATTTCCTTCACTTGTGCAGTGGAAGTATTTGAGCTCAGCTTCCTCATACAAAGAATATTTACCTTAGTTGCAAATCAATTCAATGCAACACGTCTTAACTAGTCTCGCCTCTTTATTTCAACTGTGTTGGATCATTAAATATATTTATGCAAAAGTAGCAACATAAAAATATTTCTGTGGCTTTAACTTATGTGACGCCTCGACTGCAACGCTGCTGAACTGCTGCGTGCTTCGTCTGTGTTGTCAACAAAAATTACAATTTTTTTTTTAAGTTAACAGAGAACTTAGAAGGTAAAAAAGGTAAATATAAACAAAAACAAACACTTGGTAAATATTTCCCTTTACAGCACCGCAGTGCTCAAAGAATAATAAAATGATAGTAAGCACTCAAACTAAATACAAAATGTTAATGTGACATTTAAATAACAGTGACAGGTAAAAAATTTTATTGTGGCACATTAGAGGTAAACAAACGGAGGAAGAGGAGGATGACAGAATAAAAGCTGCATAGAGTCAATATCACAAATCTCTAATGTAGAGAAGATGATTTTGGAAGCTCACGTGCCGTTTCTACTCTCAAGCAGATTCTTATCTTTAAGTTGACCGAAGTTTTGAACATTTTTCGGACTTTATCAGCGCTGCTGTTTACTACATCCTGTTAGGTACGTATGAAGAACTGAAGCATCTCAGAGCAAGTCACTGAGTGTGGATTCTTCCTCACTGTCTGTAAAACACGTCTTTACTGGAGCAGTCCAACGTCTGATTGCTTCATCAGCAAATTATACATCTTAATGCTTTTGCTGGTTAAACTCAATGAGCAGACTGATTTTATTTGGGTCGTTTGTCACAGTGAACGTCACATTGGTTCCATGTTAGTCTAAGTTGACTCCAGGCCCATGTGTGAAATAATTCTTCATATAAAAATAAACACATTTAACCCTCACTTGATGCTACTCCAGTGTTGTTTACATCCTGTTTGTAAATTAATTAAAATATGATGGATTGAAATGTAAAATGTAAAAACCTCAAAGATTTCAAATTGAATTAACAAGCAGCATTCACTGCTTCTTCTTTGTTACACTGGCTGTGCAGTCTGTCTGCCCACAGCTCTTCACATGTGTACTAAACACACACACACGACATGCACGGCTGCAGTCACACACCTCACTTACACATGATATTAACACGAAGTCTCTGGGATCAGACCAGTCTTATTAGAAAATAACATTTACGGGTGAACACAGTCTTAAAAGCACATGAACTGCGAGTTAGAAAGACAAACTTTGGCTAATTCAGGACAACAAGAGCTATGGTAGGAGGAGATAAAGTTTTAGGCTTTTCCAAAAACCAAACGGATCGTATCCAAACTCTTTGGGGTCTTACAGCAGAACCCTGGTCCAAACTCATTCGGCTCTCCTGCTCTGACATCTATAAAACTCAAGTCCATAAACACACGAAGGAAAATAAGATGAGTGGAAGAACGTGGAAATCTCAGGATGAACAATCATGTTTCCAACATTATCTGGTGAGAGGATAAAACACCTGCAGGTTCAAAGGAGACACGATTCTTCATCCACAGGATTATTAGTAATAAATTATTATCAGGCAGTTTTTAAATACACATCATTACAATAAGTTACTTTAAATGTAGAAAAATATTATATACTGTTGTTACTTGGTGATAAAATAAAGTCTGAGGACTGTGATGCTAAAAGGCAAAGTGCAAAAACAACTGAGGCTCAACAGGAAGTGTTTCTGAAGCTTCCTTTCAACAAAGGCTGGAAAAGGGACATGAAGTCCACATGAATGAGTCTCCTATAAATCTTCCACTGGTGTCCTGACACCAGACTTCAACAGACGTCCTGTTGGAGGCCTCAGTTTGGTTAAATATCTGTCCCTTTACGATACAATGAAAAGAAAACTACTGAGCGATGTGTGTTTCTAAGGTATTTCATAAGCAGACACTCAGGAACTGCAGTGTTAATAGTGCAGAAAAAGGAAGTCAGTAGCCACAGCGAGTTCCTGCTGTTAACATCATGAATGTGTTTGCGCTTCACTTTAAACAGATGCTCAAGTTTCAGTTTCCAGGAATATCTGTGCTAAAAATGTAAATGATCATTGCAGAACTGCAACTTTTAAGTATCTGTTAATGCTCCATGTTTAGTGTGACAGACACATTCTGATGTCCTTTCTGTAAACTGCAGTCTTACAGTCAGCGCTTCATGTTTCTTCCTATTATTAACCAGATCAGTGTCGTCTGTGGTTTTCAGTTGTGTTGCTGCTCGTTTCAGATAATGCAGCCCATGAACATGCAGCGCGTGCAAAAGAAAAACTGTTTTCCCTTCTGACACGTTTTATTCCAAAAACTGGAGCGAATGCAAAAACTGCAATCGTCAGAGTGAGACAGCCTTTAACTGCAGTCCATAACAAACAGAAGCAAAGCAGCTGGAGACGAGTGAGCATCACAGCAGCGTTTGTCTCATATGTTATAGAGGCTCTGTGTACCAACACTAACCCCCATCATAGTTTCGTTTAAAAGGACGTCTGCACTCTCTGAACGGCATGAAGTCAAAATAGAGATCGCTGCATGTAAAGCTGGCAACACAGAAACGGAGAGACTGAGAGCAAATATCCTGATTACAGGGCAGGATAAACCTTACAAAAGAAATACAGGCTGAAGCAAAAGCAACCACATGTTCAGGCTTGAAGAAAAATTTTGACTTCATGAAATAAATGTATTGCATGAAGTCATGAGGATAAAGGATAAAGCAGAAGCAAACCAGAAAAGAAACCACACTGCTGCTCTTCTCAAAAACAGAACTCGCAGCCTTTTTCAGTCACTGGCAGCGTCCTCGTAACGGTTTGTATCTGAGCTACAGTCGCTGAAAACACTCAGCACTATTTTCAGCCGTAAAAAATATGATTATCTGATGCATGATGCATGTGTCTCAGTGTTACTCGTAATATTTCTAATAAAGCTAAAATAAAGAACCTAAAAAACAGAGTTTAGAGAAAAGCTTTTTCAGAGTCAGACAGTTCTGGTTTTGTTCAAAGCAAATTTCTCCCTCTGTCTTTTGTTTGTTTTTCATCTTTTGTTTTTGTTTTTTCAAGGTGCACAGTCTGTTTTTGTTTTTCTTTTTACATGTACATTTTTGCACATTTTTGAAACCCACAGTTATAATGGCCTACACTATAAAAATAATGCTGGAGGAAGAAAACCTGAATTTTCCTGATTTTGATTTGACCTCCAGTGATTGAACCGTCAGTCACAGTGTGTGATCACTTTGGTTTTTCACGGAGGAGAGGAAGGGAACTTTTTCCTCTGCAGTGACGTCTTTGAGCCGTTTGCTGCCACGACAGCGTGGCTGAAGTCTGATGTAGTGCGCAGGAAGGAGGAGGATGATGATTTCTGGGTGGCGTCTGAGCCTTTGAGCCAGGCATCACGAGGACTGATCCGTCACAGTGCTGGAGCTCGAAGGTGCTGAGGTTCTCTGCAGAGGCGGAGAAGCGTGCTGCAGTGCTGCTCAGCCAGGCACTGCTATACCTGCTGCTGCTGCACCAACCGTCTGAAATGTGGCATGACTTTGCTCTCTGGGAGGTAGAGCGCCATCTCCAGGGCGACCAGGATGGTGAACTCGAATGATATGAGCTCCCTCCTGCTGATCCTGAAACGCTCCTCCAGCTTCTGCAGGAACAAACCAGCACGTGAGAGAGAACAAATACTTTCTGATGACACAAACCGTTTCATGTCTGACTCCACGTCTGTGGGAGTTTTAAATCTTGAAATTAAAATAAACATAGTATCTTTTGACATTTTTATACTGGCCGTTCATTTTAACTAAACTTCTGTGAAAAAGTATTTACCCTGTTTCCTGATTTCTTTCTTTTTCTTTTTTTTTTTTAAATTTATTAGCCAAAAAGAACCCAATTAAATAAAAACTGCAGTTTTTAAATAATTATTTTAATCTATTGAGGGTTCTTCGCAGCAAGAATTGCAATTGAGTGTTTGCAATAACTGCCAACGAGTCTTTCACCTTCAAACTTCAAAACTTTCATTTTTTTATTTTTAGCCGCTCAGAGATGGGTTTGCTGGTGTGTTTCTGTCAGGCTATCAATTATCACGAGTCTTCCGTGTCCTGAAGCGGCAAAGCAGCCCCAGAGCTTCCACACTACCACCACCATGTTTGATTGCTGGTTTGATGTTCTCTCTTTCTGAAATGCTTTGTTACTTTTTAACGGGACTCGGCCCTTTCAGAGAGTTCAGCTTTTGTCCACAGAACATTTCCCTCAAAGTAGTGGGAATCATCAAGATGTTGTTTGGCAAAAGTGTGATGAGTGTGATTTTTGGTCACAGTGGTTTCCTCTGACCAATGGCCATGCCATGACCTCTGACCTTAACTGAGGCAAGTGAAGCCTGCAGTTCTTTAGATGTTGTTCTAAGGTCTTTTGTCACCTCCTGGATGAGTTGTTCATGTGTTCTTGGAGTATTTTTGGTCGGCCGGCCACTCCTGAGAACTGCCCACAGTTTTCTCCATTTGTGGGTATTCATACTCTCCACATGCCTCAGAAATGGCTTCGTAATCCTTTCATTGATAGAGGTCAGCGACTGTTAAAAATCACAGTTCTAAACCCTTTTCCAACTTCACTGTTTCTTTAGATCGTGGTACGATGTGTCGCTTTATGAGATCTTTTCATTTGTTTCACTTTGTCAGATAACTTCTATTTTAGTGATTTCTTGATTAGACATGTATAACAGTAATAAGGCCCGAGTGCATTTAGTGTAACTTAAACTCAGCTTTACAAAAACTGTCCCTAATCACATTTAATAATTTAACAAGGGGGGAATTACTCTTTCACACAGGGCCAGGTATTTAAAGAAATGTAATCACCAGTTTAGTTACTCAGGTTATCTTTGCCTTTTTTTTGATTTTCTGAAAAATAAAGTGTAACAAATGAGCATAAAGAAATAAAGAAATCAGGAAAAGGACAAATAGTTTTTCACAGCACTGTATTTGTAATCAGTGTTTCATTAGATATGATAAATGAGGTAAAACTAAAAAGATCCATAACTCCATAAAAACTAAAGAAATGTGCAACGATCGTCTGCTTGGTAGTAGCGTGCAGGGTTTTTGGTTTGGTGGTCGCAGAACTGAAACAATTAAAATCAATATTTTTGAGCCATGACAAAAGTGAATATGCAGCATAAATACAGTACAGTGATAATGCAGGACTCAATCAGACCTCAGGGATTCTCTCCTGCATGGTCTCAACACTCGACTATAAAGGACATTAACAGCCTCTAGTCCAGCAGCTCGAACACTCAGCAGGTCGTTTTCCACCTGCTCAGGTAGAAAAGCCTCAGAGGCTGAGCAAGAGGAACATGATCTGACTCACAAGGCAGATTTTTTCACTGACACTGTGTGTGTGTGTGTGTGTGTGTGTGTGTGTGTGTGTGTGTGTGTGTGTGTGTGTGTGTGTGTGTATTACATACGTCAATTAGATGTTTGACTTCCTGTTTCTTGAGGTCACTGCTGATCTTAGCTGCCAATAGGATGCATGCAGCTGAGACCAACTTCCTGTGAACAACATCAACAGTTACGTAACTGACAGGACATCAGGCCACAGAGTAACAATGTAACAATGCAGACTGCTCGCTCTCTGGACAACATTTATTCTTAAAAGAATTATTGTCTTAGTTTGTAGTTTGTTTGAAATAATGTATCAAGTCTTTATCAGGTGTTTTCTTTGCGTTAACAATCAGTTTCTAATTATAAGACTTGTTGTCAGTTTTTGACTGAATCAGTCATCAGTTAGATCTTAAAGACCTTGAGTTGGATGTAAACATACTCTATAAAATAACTATAAATGTCACTGTGATGATGCACACACTTCAATAATAATTTTCCAGGCAGTTCACAGAGACAGGAGCTTTCCTTCATGTGGTTTATGGGACAGTGAGGACTTGAAGTTCAGTGCATCACAATCAAAGAATACAAACCATCAGCAACAGTGAGAAGTTTTTCTTTTAAACCGAGCTTATTGAAAATAAACACAAGGGGGAGCCACTTCCACACCTCACACTGTGGACTCCACACAGAAAACTGCAGCACAGCCACCTTTTAAGCTATCAGACAAATCTTGTTTTACGTTTTCTAACAGGAACACAATGTGATGAAGTCTTGAACCAATCAGATTTTCTACCTGAGACTAATTATGGTGCAGAATCACTTATAATAACAATAAACAGAGCTAAACAGTCACACATGATCCATAGTCGTCATTAACCAACATTTCAAGCAGAGTGTGAAGCCTATGAACGAAGCAGAAACCGATGACGAGCTGTTTACATGTGGACGAGATTCGAACAAACCTGTTCTGCTTGTTGAGGCGACCCTGCAGCACCAGCTTTTCAAAGTAGACGTATGCCATCGCGAGGGTGACGGGCTGCAGGCCGCAGTCCTCCCCGACTATTCTCATCTCTCTCTTTAGGCTGAAAAAGAAATAAAGCATGTTCTAATTATTTAATACTCCCTTTTCACATATCTGTGTAGGTTCTTAGTCATCCAGGTCATGGTAATCTAAGGAGTGACTGGACTGCTTTAAGTTTCTTTAAGATGTTTCATGTCTCATCCCATGAGCTCCTTCAGCTCTAAGACCAAGTGGTGATCCAGTCGGCCCTTTTTCACATTACTGTGCTGAAATCCTTTCATTGGCAGAAATGAGAAACGTTACCTTCGGATTTTGCTGAGGGTGAGTTTAATGTGAGGAAACTTCTCCTTAAAAGTCTCGTTCATATCTTTCTTCAGATCAGACGGTTTGACATATTCTATAACTGTCGTCTGCAGGATAAAAGAACAAAGAGAAAAAGAGCAAAAGAAAATGAACCATACCAGAACAATAAGGAGCGGAAGAATGCATAAACAGAGCACAGAACACATTTAACTGTAAGCAGAGACAATGAGAAGTCAAACAGTTGTCAGTGAATGTAAATAATCTGATGAGGACGTAAACACCGACGGGTAAATATTTCTTTCTGTGACTCATTGTTGCAAAGATGGCACCATTTCTCACGCAGGGAAACTCATTCATGCTTTAGTTTACAGTCTTTCCAGGTATTGTGATGACTGTTCGCAGGAGTATCCAATAACCTCATCAAATCTGTTCCAAAACAGCTGCACTGACTTTACACACTAAATAAAAGTCAAACTCCCCTGCTGATTATTTTTAAATCTAACAACGACGCAGGCTTTGGTTCCACTGAGTCGGTCCGTCTCTGTGTCTGTCCTGTTATGGACAGATCACCTGGTCACTGTGTAGCCAAAACACAGTCTCAAGCCCCACCCCAGCTGATTTCTTTAAGCAGTTAAGAAAATGGATTGATGGCTCAATACTTTGACGTATTAGATCACATTGATCTTATAGAAATCCAGTATTGCCACACAGCATTCCTGCTTTTTCACTAATAGCCTCAAACACCCAAAGGCAGCTCTGCTCTCTCTCCAGTGGGTTTGTTTTATTTTGCAAACTTAAGAGGGCTCCTTTAACCACATGTTGCATGTTTACAACTTTCATTATTTAAATGGCACACAACTCAACTTAAGTGAAGAAACAGACACACCTTTCCATGAAACAGCTTTAAAGTCACCAGCATTAAGAGGTGACAGTGAAGAGCTGCAGGTTCCTCAACAGTTTCTTTACAGCTCAACTCAGTTTAGACCTTAATCCTGATATTTAGTCACATACATGCTCATGTCAACACTTCCAAGGCCTAATTTAATGGAGAGAAGCCTGCGAGATAATCCTGGTAGACAGCCTGATCTAAACCTTATCATATGCAGGTAACATGCACCATTTCCATGTAACGCACCAAACTGGTGTGGGTGGGGGGTGTTTTGTAGTTTAGGCGACATTGACAGTAGGTGGTGAAATCACACTGTGTAATACTAACACACACACACACACACACACACACACACACACACACACACACACACACACACACACTTGCTCACAGTAAGCTCAGTGAAAAGCAGCTCACCTCAGCTGTAATCGTCTCATGAATTAAACACTGTGATACAGTGTGTGTGTGTGTGTGTGTGTGTGTGTGTGTGTACCTGTTTAGACATCTTTGTTGGACCAAAAATTGGAATATTATTATATTTGTGGGGACCAACAGTCACTTATGAGGACAAAAGTGCCGTCCTCACGAGTTTGAAGGCATTTCTCAGGCTCAAAATGTGGTCTTAGTGTCAGGGTTACGATTAGGTTCTGGTTAGGTTTAGGCTGAGGGTCAGGATTAGGCCGTCATTTTTGAGGGTTAGGGTGAGCGACTAGGGAATGCATTATGTCAATGAGATGTCCTCACTAAGATATCAAAACGAGAATGTGTGTGTGTTTGTCTATAGAGGGATCAAACTGAGCCGCAGCCTCTAGGACAGTGAAAAAGAAAAGAGCATGTGTACTCTGATTACTCTTACAATCATCTGTTTTATTCACCCCGTTTGTCTCTCCTTCGGATTTATTCCTGTTTATTAGAACATGAGAAATTAAAATTGGGGTTCAATGTGATCAATTTACACTTTTAATCTCCCCGAAGCACAGATGTTATTGTCTGACTCAACATTATAATTAAAATGTGTAAAAAAAAATAAAATAAAATAAAATAAAATAAAATAGTCAAATACAGAAATCCTGCCAGTTACCAGAGATGAGTGAGTATCTGACTTGGATGATGCATTAATTCATGTGATGACATTAAACGGATTAGATACCACCTACTGGTGTGATCAGCTCAGTTTTTACTGAACCTGTTATTCATATGAGTCACACACCAGTGAGCCAAAAACACTATGACCCTGTACATGGTGAATAAGGTTGATTATTTCTCATCAGTGTTGTTGTCACCACTATAAGACAGTAAATGCAAAGCTGAGAGTTGCAGTCATCCTAAAAACAGCAGCAGGGGCAGGTGTAAAGTCACGGGTGTTACAGCCAGATGAGTCTGAGTCAGAGCCGCCCCGAAACATCGAGGCTCGTTGGGCGCTCCCCGTGAGCTGACGATTACCTTCAAACAGTCATCTGAGATCGGCCCAACAGTGAAACACCAAGAGGGTGTTGGAGGATGTGTTGGAATAACAGTGGCTCCAAATCTTACAGGACTAATAGGATCTGCTCTTAATGTCTTGGAGCCTCCACACATCCTGCTGAATCCCTGCTGTGGCAGGTCGGAGCTTGTTTTGGTGGTGCAAGAAGCACCGAGAGCAAATTAGATCAAAGTGGTCGTGTTGTTTTTGCTGTCGTTATGATGAATTCTTTTAATTAATTTAGAAACCACAGCTCTTTAATAGCTCACATGTGTTTCAGTAAGATTTCTGATCGTGTTCAGAGAGGTGCTGGACCCAGCTGAAATCTGATTGGCCCCTGTGATGCGCCACCCCGTCACTAATCACTGGACAGGGTGTGCAGGACTTCACTGGTTGGATCTTTACAGATGCATAAACATCACAGACATCAAACACTTGTGGTAAGCATGATGTTGATGTCGATTTCATGGGGGAGGGCTGGTGATGACAGGAAAGATTACAATGTTTACAAGTTCAAAGAAGCGTATTTATAAGATGGAAATTGGTAATCAGTATAAGTCTGATGGGACTTGAACGTAGCATGAGCGTGCTGCGATGCACAGACAGCTCAACAGTGGTGCTTAGCATTTCATCAGCCACAAAGCTTCATGACAAGGTGCTTTTCTGGACTTTAGTTTGTGTTAACCTCTGAATCTGAGAATGGGTGCTTATTTCAAGCATTAGTTAGCAGCTAGTTCACAACTATACTGGGATTAAACTAGCATCTTGTGAGTGCAGTTACAAACATTTCTTATTGAATTTTCTTTCATATTCATTCACATTTTAAATCTTATTTCCAGAACTGAACCATCCATAAACTCAGGAGTTACAAACAAGAGGTGTGCTCAACCCTGAAACAGAGTCTGAATCTGAATGGAAGTCCCCCAATGCCAAAGCTTTCAGTGCAGATCTCCTGAGATTTGAACTTTTCTTTTTCATGTATTGTTTTTGTTACTAAACTTGATTTATTTAACTCAACATTAACATTTTTGGTCAACAGACTGATGCAAGCTACAAATATTAGACCTAATAAGAGCAGCTCCTCAGAATAAGCCCATATTAGATCCGTTCTTGTTATCAGGCAAAAGAATTTGGGAATGCTGTCTCCAAATCGCTGCCGTACCAGGCCGCAGCTTTATGATGAAGGCTGTTAATCCCGATGATGCAGAAGAAAGAAATCTGATTTAGATTAAGGCTGGAGGCTCCGAATTCAGTTACTGCCAAAATGACTGTTTAAAATCTGTCTTGCTGAGGTCACTTAAACCCAAAAATGTGCTTATTTTTAGAACTTTGATAAGATAACACACAAACACAGCCTAGTAAGGGCTACAGCACCAGGTTCGCAGTGCTACAGACTCCAAAGTGTATTAGTTTACTAAAACCATCTGTCCTCTCACAAAGCTCATTAAAGGTGTCAAACAGCCTGCGGAGCTCTGAACGTGGTGTGAAGGAGACGCACAGCTGTCAGCGATTTGCTCCGTGTGGGCGTCCTCGAAAATAAACAACTATATTTCAAACCATCTGCAGTGTTTTCTTACCATGTAAGAGGCGAAGATCAGCACTCGTTTGTGTTTGCCGCAGGGCCACTGGGGGTCACTGAGCAGGTTGGGGTCATAATCCATCACATCCTCCACACCTGGACAACAATACACATCGATTCAGAAATATCATCAAAAGAGCAAAACCGAGGTGAGGAGAGTAACACGAGGTGTCATCAACAAGTTCTCTGACTCACAGCAAAAACATTTAGTGCATCTAAGCACGATCTGTCTGCAGACAGTTAAGGAAAAGAGAATTTTATCCATTTTCCTGTTTCTCTGACCAAGTCCTGATAATTTGTCTTTGAGGGAAAGGGAAACGTCTTTGATGCAACATTACCAGCTTGAAATTTGGCTCCTGTCCTACTCCAGCTCACTCCTTTGTGCACCTCTTAACTGCTTTCAGCTCAACCACTACTTTCTTTTAACCCCCAGGACATCTGCCCTTCTTCCATGAACCTCACAGAGTCTACAGACATCAACTTTAGACTGACAGGGCCCCACTCGGTGATCAGCATTGGTGACAACAGTAGGTTCACGTAAAGAGGTGTTAAATGTTAAATGTCCCAGGATGTCAGTGCAGAGCTCTACTACAACATCCTGAGACATTTAACATTCGTTTCAAACTGTTAAGGCAGAGGTGTCGAACTTAGTTTAGTTCACGGGACACGGGAGTTGATTTTAAGAGGGCCATTATTGCACAAAAACTTATAAAAGCAAATTTATTAAACTGTTAACAGAGTTTATGCACAGTTTGCAGACATTCACATTCAGAAAAATCTCAGTTTTTCCTCATTCAGTCAGTGTAAAGTCTTTACAAACAAACTGTACCATTAGAAAGTTACAGAAACCCATCAGCATGGCTCCTGGGGTTTAACCACCTTATTCTGGTTCTTTATCAGTGACAGTGATAAAACAACCACACTTATGGCAAGATTGATTGAGCTGCAATACAGTGCTTCCTGTTGAAAAGTCTAAATTGTTTGTCCTTCATCTTAGCAAGTCTGAACTCTGCAAAGTCACCCAGCTGGCTGGCTTCAAACTCCTGGGCATGTGTGCACATTTGGCATCCCAACTATGGCACAGAGTATTGTGCTTTTTTGGGGCAATGCCAAACACATTGCTCCCTAACAACCTTCCCGATCATCAGAATTCAAAGAGATCTTTGTCCTCTTTCCCCAAAATGAAATTGCAGTGGTGGAGATCCAGCACATGACCTCCGCTGTGCAGGTTCTAGTGATCGAAAAAGAGCTGACTGGGTGCGATCTGAAAATGGCAGCAGCACCAAAATCTATCATTCTGATATCTGCAGAGATTGTCTTGTTTTTTCCCTCTGGAATCAAAAGACAAAATGGATTTGAGAACCACCTGTGAACTTTACCAAGCCTTCATCTGGTTTCATATTGTGGCCTAAAGAGCATTTCATCATCCAATCACCATTTCATCCATTTAGTGTTTGCTGGCCCTCTGCTGCCACCAACTGTGAATCAACAGAAGGCGTCCAGGCTTTCTTTCATAGTGCTACCAGTGGTCCAAGCATCTATGCACAGGTACAAGAGCAGCTCTGTACTAATCGACAGCTAAAAACATTATGCCATTTATAACTGAGTAAACGAGTCTTTGGTGTTTCTGTCAGTACTTAACAATCATATCAGTCTTAAGAGCTGCGAGTCTAAAGAAAAACGTCACCAGAGGACTAAAAATATCGAACCTGCTGCGCACGGCCTCACGCTCACACACAGCTGTATTGTGTTAATGAAAGGTTGTGGATTAGAAAGAGGGGTTTAGAGGCTAATTCAGGGCTCTGTCACTGTGGATGTGTGTGTTTACAGACACAGGATGTGAGGACATGCTCATACACATGTGTTTAAAATATAAAGAGGATGATGCTCCAGCACAGCTGCAGCAGCTCTCGTTTGCTCTCTTCATCCCAGCATCCTGTGTTTGTTTTCTCTTCCTCACGTTACATCCTTCTTTAGCATTTCAATCCAGAAATGTTTGAGCAGTTACAGTTCAGCCTCTTTTCTGAAATCTCAGAATTCAAGGAAACAGATCAGTCATATCGCTCAGAGTCCTAATGCACCATGACTGTGCTGTTTCACAGTTTGAACCATAAACAGACGGTGTTTTTGTTGTTCCCTTTAACATGATAAAATCCTTTAACTGTGTCTGTGGCTTGATGTCAGTAATTATCTACATTACATCTAATAAATGGCCACATCTTTGGTGAAATTTATTTTTGACAGTTTTAAACTGTTGCTAGAAAAAAAGAATCATTATTATTTTTAGGAGACGTGCACGCTGTGACTGAGCTCGGTTCCATTTCTTACCCAGATCCAGTCCCACGGTGCTGCTCAGCCGGCTGGGCGGGTAGCTCCTGCCCGGAATGCTGTGTGTGCTCCTGGAAACGGGAATCTGCAGCGTCAGGTCGCTGGAAGACGACGGCTTCTGCCTCACCAGCGCGTTAGTGGGGTACAGGAACTGTGCGTATGACACAGACTGACACAGAAAGAGAAAGATTATTATTAACTGAGCTCTGACCACAAGAAACTGTTTTGGATCATAAAATCATCCATGAGAAGTAGGTCCACATTTTCTACCCTGCCATAGGTGTCCAGGTGAAAACCCTCTAGCCCCGGCAGCATTTCCAGGGTGGTAGAGATGTTTCCAGACGAGTGTCTCCTCCTGGGGTGATTTAACAAAGGATCACTGGAGAAAAAAAGGCATCAAGAAAAGAAAGAGAGCGAGAATTATTGATAAAATGTTGGTAAACAGCCTGCCTGTAAACACACAGCAGACGGCTGCACTGTCATACAGTAGGAATATTTGGTTCCCAGTTCTTCCGACTCGTGCCCTAGCTGAAACCAGTCCAAACATCTGCTGCATCTGGAGCAGAAACCCCTCAGTGCAGCTGGTTTACCTACAGGAAATTAAATTAAGGACAACAGCAATAAAAGATTCACAACACCATAAAACAGATCCAGAAGTTAGCAGCAGCTTCGGTTTGCCACAAGCCATCAGCTAGCATCGTAAAGAAACTGCTCGAGCGTTTCAGACGGGTCACGCTGTGGTTTGTTTCTCTAATAATCACAGTTCAGCCTCGTGTCGCTCCGAGACACGACAGACACTGAAAATGAATCGATGAATTAATCATTTATGAGCAGTTCATCACAGCCTGAGCACAACTGAAATTACACAAAAATACAACTTTGTTTTGCAATTATCACTTTTTTACTGCAGACTTAATTTCAAACTGATGGATTTTTATGATTTATAGAAAATGAATCCAAATAAATTTCTTTCTGGAACCGCTACAACAAAACATCTTTATTCACACTGAAAAACCTACCTCATTAAATATAATCTTACTCTCTGTGTAATACTAGATGTACACAGCATACGACTTACACCCTTTCACTGTACATACCAGTTCATTTCACAGGTTTAATTCTTTCCTTTTCCTTATATGATCTGACTGTACTTTAACCATTTCATAGTGATTGTGTACTTTCCAGATGCTACACCTAATTCCCAGACTTCCTGGATTTAGTTTTTTATATTTTAACATGTCCCACAGACAACCACCTGCGTGACAGGAGCCATGCGGCGCCTCCCTCCTCCTCTGCAGAATCGCACGTTGGCTTGAATAAGATTTCAAACTAAACAGATAATCGTTTACGGGATGAAGGACACAAAAATGCTGAAACTCTGAAGTATAACACGTTGCTTTTTACAAACTAATTAAAAAAAAACCAACATTGATTGAATTAAAATGGTTGATATTTAATATATTTCCCATTGATTTTTTCTTACCTAATTTGTTTGTAATTTCAGTAAGTTTCTTCTGGCACCATCTGAAACCATCTATAAATGGGAACTAGAGGGAACTGAGAATGTGTTCATGATAATAGCTGCGTACATTACATGTGCGCATGGTGCGAGTGTGACATGACACAACATGCACTAAGACTTCTCAGAATTTCAGCTGAGAAAAAAACGTGTTTGTGTGAACACAAAGAGAAAAAAATTGATCAGGATGACTTGTCTATTGGAGAGAACAGCATTATTGTTGTTTCCATTATTGTTTCTTCTTGTCGTTACTGTGAGATGTTTGTGTGTGATCGTGGTGTTTGTATGAGTCATCAGCCACTCAGACCTAAGGTCAGGTCAGAGGGCTCTGATGCACATGGGAAAAAAATCATCCCCCTCCGAACAAACGGCTCTTCTCCCTCATACTCCTCTGCATCATCCCCTCTTCTACTCTCATGTCCCTTTGTCTCACAATGAAGAAACGAGACCTCGGCTACTTCTACTTCCCTACCTCTACTTCTCGTAAGTGTCCAAGCATTGTTCCCTCTAGTGATTTTCTGGGCCCCTTGTGCATTTCCTTGAAACTTGTGTATTCATTTTCTTTGTTGCTGTGCAGGATGAACCAGCAGTGTATGGGAACAGCTGAAAAGCTCACGTTTCTTCATGTTTAAAAGTCCATCTAATAAAGGTCTCGGATTTTTGAGAGCTGCAGGACAAACATTTCCTTTCACTCCACTTGGTTCACTCTCTTAGTTACGGCGCTGCCTCCTTCCTGCCTAGTGAACAGCGACAGGGGTAGTTACTGGTCTAAACCTCTGCTTGGGCTAAATCTCTGAAAACTTTTTATTCACATGCTTCTAAATTCATTTGATGGTCTGCACGAATCTATTTTTGCGAGTGAAACCTCCACGCTGTTGAGGCCATCACCAGCATCACCTGCCAGTAGAACAGCCTCTTTATCTCAGCAACCTCAAACATTTCCTTTCATGTGAAAACAGCTACTGGCAGGATGAAGATAACTATATATAAGGTTTCCTTCAGCCAGCTTGCTTCAGGTGAACTTAGGCCAGCGATGACCAATTCAGTAAATAACAGTTTTAAATAAGCCAGCAGTGTTTAAATCAACTTTCCACAAATACTTTTTCCCCCTGCCATCAGCCCATTGGTTATGTCGAACCCTTTTTCTTGATTTCATCATGAGAGGCAGAAGGTGGGAGTACATAAGCAGATGTGTCTGTACGGATTACCTGAGGTAGAAGCTCTCTCCGTAGGGAAGAACAGAAAAGGCAGCACACAGAGACCTCTTAGCACAGATGAGCACGATTCTGAAACACAAACAAAAACACACATTAGTGGTTATCGTGTTTTGACATCTGTCCAGCTGAATTACTTTTCTCCATCTGAGGCATTTTGCTGACTAAACACACACAAAAACAGACAAAGTTTCAAAATGAAGACGCTAACTCTGCATCTTTGTGGTGAAATGAAGATAAAGCTAAATCCCAGGGTAAATTTAAGGATTGAAAGTTTAAAGGATCATATCGCTCCTCAGCATGGCGTAATATTTACTCACCGTTAAAGAGCAAAACACACAAATGCACACTTGACACCAACTTAATTGAGTTAAAGGCTCCAGCTGCACCCTTACCCTCAATTCTGCTCAACTATGACATGATATAATAGAGTTTCATTATGGAGAACACAGTGTGTGCGTGCACGTGCATGTCCGTGTTTGTTTTTTATTGCAGCTCCTCTGAGTATAAACCCATCTGGAGCAGAGACTACAGCTTGCTGGCCTGGTTTTGGTCTCAAGAGGAAAATGTTTGCAGTCATTATATTTGGCTCAGGAACCAAGAGACTAAAAGATTATGTTTTCACACATAGTGAATAAACACACTTAGCTCAGAGCTGAACAGATAATTGTCCAACATGCAGCTTCTCGGTCAGTTAGAACAACTTTGTCTGTCAAGGCAACACAAGGTCAGCGTTTCAAGGTCTCCGAGTAACTGAAGCAAATGTTCCCAATTTAGCCAAGGCACGAATCGGCTCTATAGTTCATCAGGATGCTGGCAGACCGAGCAGTAAATTTATCAAAGTAGTTATATAACCTGGATTAAACAATATTGGCCAGCCAGCAGCAAAGAGTCGAGCACGTACACACACACATAGCCACACACACACACATAACCACATGCTAGCATGTCATTAGCCCATTGCCAGAATAAACTGTTTGGGGGGGGGTTACCATGAACACATTTGTAGTAACAAACTTAATCATGCATTTAAATCACCTTCATCAACATGGATATTTTGAAAAAGACAACAAAGACAAAGAGGCTAAAGCTAAACCTATCCAGACTAAAGCTAACCAGACCTTGGTATGAGCAAAGGATCAAAGCAGTTATGACGAAAATTTTGGAAACGTATGAAAAAGAGAAACGGGTAGATGTTCTATTGTATGATGAATTTATAAACATACTGGAGAATAACATAAGTGTCTGATTTATCTTGTTATATAAATCTGCTGCACCTACTTTTCTTTGGTAAGAGAGTGCAATCATTTTCAGTTAATTACTCTCCAGTAGCAGAGCCCTTTATTTTCAGCTGTTTAATCGAGAGAAGATCCTGTAACTTAGTGCAGCTTGGGGGAAGCTGTGAAGTTTAATAATTTATTTTTATTATGACCGTAATATTTAGCATAGAAGAGAAGTTGAGGTTTTTTACTCAATGCTGCCAGTTAGTTCTTAAAAAGAAAATCAGGATCTGCAAAAATCAATATCAGCTGGTCTTTAATTGGCCAGTGAAATTGCAATTGGTGCATCCTTAGTTTAGCTGCTTACAGGCTGCTTCCAAGACTGCGTTTCAATTGTTTTTTTGGTAGCTGTGATTGGTGATTGGTAGCTGGCCAATCACATTCTTGGTTACTGCTTCAGCCAAGGTGTAGATAGTGGATAAAAGTTTACTTATCCGTAAGATTTAATGTGATGTCGCCCCACCCTTTGCAGATATAACAGCCTCAGTTCTTCTGGGAAGGCTTTAGGAACCTTTAGGAGTGTTTATGGGAATTTTTGACCATTCTTCCAGAAGCGCATTTGTGAGATCCGACAGGGATGTTGGACGAAGAAGCCTGGCTCACAGTCTCTGCTCTAATAGGTGTTTTATCGGGTTGAGGTCAGGACTCTGTGCAGGCGAGTCAACTTCTTCCACACCAAACTCGCCCATGTCTTTATGGACCTTGCTTTGTGCACTGGTGTGCAGTTGGAACAGGAAGGGTCCCCAAACTGTTTCAATAAAGTTGGGAGCATGAAATTATCCAAAATTATAAAGCATTAGAGTTCCTTTCACTGGACATTGCTTTGCACTTGTACACTTGACAAATGCAGCGTGCTCACTATGCTTACTAGAATTATCACTCCACCATCCGATGTAACTGTGATCACTTTTGGCTTCAAAACAAACAAACAAACAAAAAAGCTCACGGCAGCCAAAATGCTGATGTGCAGAAGCCAGTGGTCAATATCACGTAGCTACACATATACACTTCACACACTGACCGTCTCATCTGACTCCAGGTTTGAATCACAGACTGTTTAAATGATGCCAGTCTGGAAAACTGTTACCAAACAATATAAATTTATCTTTAATTATCCATTTAATTTATGATGTGTAGTAACTCGTTTTTATTTCTCTTCGCATTGGTCTTTGGCATCAGACTGAAGAACTGTTATGTAGTGGACTTGTATACACTGTTCTTTGTTTAGAAAGTCACAGAGGGATAAACATATGAAGAAGGAAGCCAGTTAATCCAAACACTGCGGTTTTTCTTACAGAGATGACATGATCCCGGTCAAACGCTTAGCACATCTTAATGAGGATCCAACTGGGTAAATAATTCAGTAGACTTTAACCTTAGGCTCAATAGAGACACGCAGTTTTAACCCATGTTTGCTAATTATGGTTCGGGATGTAAAACTGTATTACACTACTAAGTGATTTATCATTTAAAGGGGATGAAAACAGACTAAAGGGAGCCCAGCGGTTCAAAGTTTAATTCTTTAGGAAGCTAAATACGCAGCAGCGTGATGGAAAATTCAACATTAAAGGTCATTAAAGCATGAATCATTACTCGTTCAATTTAGACAGGAGGCTGCTCCTCCTACCCTTCTGATCATCCCTCGAGACAGATTATGAGTTTGAATTTGCCGTTGTTGGTTGTGTGAGCCGGAGACACAAAAATACACACAAAGCTCGTTCCCTGTGATGCATGGGAAAGTCAAGAGCAGGAAGTCACCAGGGAGCTCAGTGGAAACAGCAGAGACATCGCAACACAGCTGCTGAAAACGTGACTGTGCTGGGGAGTCTGTCCCCTGCACCCATCCATTTATTACACCACATTTCACAACACTGGGGGCACATTATTCCATAATCACCTACAAGGAAAACAGACAATGTTCGCACTGAGGACTGAACCACTGACCCAGAGCTTTGTCTATGTAGCTACACTGACAACAGACAAACAAAGGAAATTTATAGATAAAAAAATTAAAATGACAAAACATTTAGCATTTTTTTGTATGTTTCAAATCAAATGTAGACAGCATTATGTTCCAATTACGCTTCATCAGTGAAATGTATGCGTAGTGGAAGGTTTAATGTGACTTACAATTATGCTTTTTAATAAATGATATGCAACAGCAGAACATTTTCATCTTGCTGGGAACTAACTAGAGCAGAAAACTCTCCATTTCACCATTTCCCCCCAAAAACAAAACAAAAAATAAACTAAAAAAATATATAAATATAATTAGTTAACATAAATTTGATTTTAAAAAACACAACAAGAACTTTTACAATTCTTGGATGGATCTTGGTGGATATTCTACACTGTAAAAGGTCACCTACTTTGCTCACCTGTCACTTAAACTAATTACTAATATTTTACTGTTAAAGTACAAAAACGTTACCTGCTGGTTCAAAGATATCATGACACCGAGCACCACTGACTGCTCGGCCCTCTTTTCAGCTGACTTATAGTTGTAAACAAGTGAGGTGGAAAACAAGCAGATGACATCTGTTTGCTTTCCATCACTTTGATGTGCAAAATGAGAGTTGGCATGTCAGAGTAAACTGATATATAAACAATCGACTGAAGCAGCATCTAACCACACTCTGCACACGTGCAGCTGCTAGCCTGCGGTGTGATAAATGCCGAAAAGTACCACACTGCCCATGCAGTCAGTTAATTTTGTCTACTCTCTGCAGTAGTTTATGTTTTGTCCATTTTCTTTATGCTTTCTTTTGGTCTCTCCACTTTCCACTCATCACTCAACTTGTTGCAAGAAATGGCTTGTCCCTCCCTGAGGTCTCGTCCTGTTAAAATGGAGGTCTTTCTCCCCACTCTCACCAAGTACATTCCCAGGGAGTGTTGTCTTGTCCCTGGGTTAAGTTCTTTACCTCACAAAATAAAGCACCTTGAGACGACTGTTATTGTGAGCTGTTTCTATATTTCACTGTCAATCAATGTCTTGGTTCTTTTTTCCAAAGAAAACCTTTTTTAAAAGGAAGTAAACAAGCAATTTTTACAGGTGACCTCAAGGTGAACCATTTAAAGTCTCCCAGGATGACCCAAACAAGGATCATGGGACACAACAGCCCATTCTGAGGGAAGACAGCTCTAACATTTCCTCTTCTCTGTGACAACATGGTGACTTAGCTGAATTTCAAACAGCACTGGTGCTCTTTACTGGATCTATTTTAAAACAATTACCCCTCAGTCAGTCTGTTATTATGTGATGAGCAGCCCTGTGGGCCCTTTTGACCCAGAGTTGTATTTATACACTCCACAAGGAAGGACACGAATACAATACAATAGAAGAGTTAAGCAGAACAGAATGACACTGTCCAGGCTTCTCTGGTTCCTCTCCTGCTGTAAAGGCGACACACTTCTGCAAGTCAGCAGCGTATGTAGGGCTTAGTTCTGACAGAGACTTAACAATAACGGAAAGATCAGTGTTGTGACCTCTGTACACTGTCACAAAGGACTGCCCCAATGAGAAAGAAGCAGAAAAGCCTCAGCCAGTCCTCGAGTTTTGCGTTACAAAACTTACCACACAGTTTTCATTGTGATTCCTGAGCAGTCAATGTAGGAGGAACGGTTTGAAAAAGAGCCAGAGCATTTGCCATTGTAGCCTCTACTGATAGCACACCTCTACATAAAGCTTTCACAGACCTCCACAGGCCTCAACCTGCTGTATCGACCTTGTTCCACATGCTGGGGGACATTAGGGATCAACATGCCTCTAAATACAGTCTACACCTTGGCTGAAGCAGCTGAATGACGTGTTTTTTACCTTCAAACTCAAATATAGTTAAGGGAACAACTTCAGACTCACTGTGGAGCCAAACGTGGGCAAAACATTTCAAAGATTTGTTGTTTTTCAGAGTTCAAGACCAAAGATTCAGTTTTTCAGTATTGTTTGTTTTTACTTTTCATCCTTTTGTGATTTGATAATTCAAAAAGCTAAATTAAAAGACACCAAATATAAAATGTATACAAAAATGGGATATAAAAGTCACCAGCACTTTATACAGACCTCACAAGAAAAATAATTGCACTCTGAAGACTTATATTTAACAATAGAGCTATAACAGAATGATACATATTTATGCTACAGTAGTGTTCAGCATGTTTGTGCTGCTGGTGACAAAACATGATCACACTGAGAAACTTTATTTATTTATTTTTATAGGGGGTAGTAGATGTTTATATTCCTCGAAAAGGTTATTTTATCCTGTTGCTAGGGAACTTATGGCATCATACCATGTCCTGTATAATTAAACCTTTGTAGATAAAAATGAGATGCCACTGTGATTAAATTAAAATGACGGGATACTTTTATTAGGTGTTATAGATGCTTATATGCTAAAACCAGATTATTTCAGCTCTTTGCTCGGTGATTGCTAGGCAACATAATGACATCATAATATTTGATATAGATATGAACCTTCAGGGTCCTGGTATGTACCTGTGTATTGCAGATTCTGAGTATTAAAGTAAGTAGTTTGTATTACTGCTCATTGTTAAATCTGATGGTACAGAATTGTGGGAGTCTGTGTGGCTCACCTGCTGCCTCTTGTGTCGTACTGTTTCATATTTTTGATGAAGTGAATCTTCTTGGTGTGTCGAGGTCTGGGAGAACCACCGGAGAGGTTACGAGTTCTGCAGAGGGAGAGCGAGACAGAAAAAAAACATGAATATTAATAAGGGCATTTGCTCTCAAATCTGTAAACAAGAAAGAGGTTGCCAGTAGACACAGTTTCCACTTAAAAGACACGCACACACACTCACAGAGTCACAGAATTAAGCCTAAAAATGCCTCAAGACGGAACGTTACCAAAGCTTCTTGAGCAAAACACATATTTTTCCATCTTTACAACAAATTAAAACATTCAGAATAAATATACAGCACAAGTTTAGGGATCACTAAAATAAATAAATTCTTCTTACAGTTCACATCTCTGAGTTCTAAACACATCCCGAGTTTGTGTGTCTGCCTGGTGAAGGTCAAGTTCTGAGCCAGGTTGTATCACTGTGCCGACCCTCATGGATTAAAACAACAGATCTCGACATGAAAGCGGGCCAAGAAGCTCAGCGCCGTGACATCACAGCAGTTACATAACGTTACTGACATCAGCATTAGTCTCACACACGTACGGCACCTACACAAGCTGAAACTGCATGTTACTGCACCGCGGTCATTTACATCGTCTCATGATGAACATCATGTCACGATGCAGCACAGTCGCCATAATCATGCACATACATTTCTGCAAACACATACAGAAACTTCCTCAGCGAGGGTTGCTCCTCATCTTACATGTAAGAAAAAACAAGGAAAAGTCCCATATTTCATTTATACTCAGAGGACCAGCATGCAGTGCTGCAGTCAGATCAGGTTACACAATGCTTTGAACTAAGCCAATAAACTGGCCACAAATAGAAACTCACATTTATAATGCTCTTGCTATTATTGGTTGGTGATGAATATTTCTCCTATAACTCTACACTAGATCATAAATACAGGATTATGCAACTGGATAAATACATCTGCCTCTCGAGTTGGTTTCTGTTCTTTTCTTCGGGGGGAGTTTGTTGTTTTTTTCTTGTTATATTTTGCTGATTTAGCTTCTGTGTTCTTGAGAATTTAAAACTACTGCTGTGTCCAAAATCCTCCACGCATTCACAATAGATAATATCAAATATAATAAATACTTACCGCAGTAAGTGCTAGTAAAATTAAACAGGTGGAGGATCAACTAATAATGTTTGAACATCTACATGTTTCTCAGAAGTTAAAACGGGCAGAAGTTTACCAAACTGGAAAAGATATGCCTACATATTGTTTCAGAATAATGTTCTATAAAATAAAACATTGCATCTTCAGTGCATAATGTTTTCCAAAAACTTCCAGGAATCTGGAGAAATCTCTGTGCGCAAAAAACAAAGCCAATAAAATCAACATTGGATGCCTGTGACTTTTGGGCTCTCGTGATTCTGTCACGCCTGTGCACGCCTCGCTGAGCTCGGGAGCACTTTCAGAAATCACTGTGTCCCATCCACAAAATGCAGGTTAAATATCACATCTTTGGAAGAAGAAAAGATTGTATTAGTGCATTAGAATAGACAGCTTACACATCTGGAAAGGCACCATCAATGCTGAAAGGTATTTACAGATTTCAGAGCAACACATGCACTCGTCCAGATGACTTCTTTTCAAGGAAGGAATTGTATAATTTTTAAAAAGCATAGCTTTACAGAAGAGTCTGGGTGCTGAACTGGCTTGTCTGTAGTCCATCCACCCACCCATCCATCCATTCTCTTCTGCTAAAACAATCCAGGGTCAGTGGCCCAGCTACAATAAAGCACGAGGCAGGGTACACCTCAGACAGGTTGCCGTCCTGTCGCAGGGACAACACATACAGACAGACAACCATTCACACACACAGAATTGCCAATGAAATGAATGCCACTAAGTGCACGTCTTTGGATTGTGGGTGTGGACCCAGAGAGAGAGAACCCACGCAAACATGGGAAGATCATGCAAACTCCACACAGAAAGGCCTCGCCACATGGTGGATTTGAAGCTTCTTGCAGTAAGAGGAGTTAGGATACTGCACTGGCCTGTTTGTGGTCCAGACCTTTTACCAACTGAAAACATGTGAAGCACCATGAAATTAAATATATAGCAAAGGAGACCCAGGATGGCCGAGCAGCCAAATTTTAGCAACTGGTCTCCTCATGTTAAAGAGCAAATATTAGCACATATTATTCTAAAATGGCACCGTTTCTCACTTTAAATATTTTATACATACTATGTTGTACTTTAAATAAAGATGATATTTATAAAATATGCAAACCATTGCATTCAGTTTTTATTTGCAACCCAAGCTGGTTTATAAAAACAATTCATATCATGATGTGACTCCGTACTTCCTATCGTTCGTCAGTTTTGACAATAGTCGGTTAGCGACTTTCCTGAACAGGTGATTTTATATGGTTTCTCCCCCACGTAACAGTGTGCATGACTATAATCAGGAGTCATTGGTAGGAAACAGAAACCAACCTTACTGTGCATTTTATAAATGGCTTTTGTTTCATACATCAATCATTTTTATTTTGAGAAACAACATTACAAAAAGTCTGAAGAAAACATGTTATAAACACATGCAGAAAAAACATATCCAATCTCTTCCTACAATATTACAGCCATCATTCAATACAGTCCCTAACATTTGCGTGAAGGACAATATAACATATTTTTAAGCAGAACATTTTATAAACACTCTCACAGGAGCCAATGGAGATTTGATCTGCAAGCCCATAGAGAGATGGCTGTCTGCTGGGAAACATAACGCTTACACAACTATGAATACACACACACACACACACACACACACACACACACACACACACACACACACACACACACACACACACACACACAGCATCTGCTACTGTTTTTTTATGGTCGGCTTGCTGATCCCACAGCACATGGAGTCTAAATCACTGTTATCGCTGCTGCTCACTGTCTGACTCAGTAATATATGACTGGGAGATGAGAGCTGCTGTGTGTGTGTGCATGTGTGTGTTTGTGTACATGTGTGTTATGCAGTTATAACATCTGGGTTGTGACATCTGAATGTGAGGCTTTAAGAGGATTGTTGCCTTCTGCTGGTCAACAAATACCCGACCAAACACACAATTCACATATTGACAAAGGAATTTAAATTGATTCAAACAGCAACGTATCACCTCCTAAATAATTTCTGGCCACATTTATTGGTCAAACACTTAATTAAAATGATATTATGATGGTGCAGCGGTGCCGTGATTCATTACATTTTTATGTCCCTGAAAATCTATTAAATGTTTCGCTCTTTTCCCATGAATCGTTTTTGACTGCCTGCCTGGTGCCATTTCAGAACCATGCGGGACTCGTTTACAATACTTTGGTCACATCTGCAAGAGAGTTTTAATAATAAGCATCCTTCTTTTCTTTAACTTCATTGGCTCATTAATTAATTAGTTAGTTCTATGTAAGATCCACTGAGCTCAGTCTCTTCCATGCTACTTCAACGTGCAGACTGAACTTGAACTCGGCACCGCCAACCTCAATCACATCACGTCACTAGCTGCACAGTACAGAAGTTCACAATTTCATTTAGCCTCATGGATCATTTTCCTCCTGTGGATATAAATATAGATTTAAAATAAAAAAAAGCCACGAAAGCCCTCTAAGCTGTCACGCCTCATTTGTTATCAATCCCAAACATTCTATCTTTGGTAGCCAAACTCACGTGATGGAATCTTCTCAGCATTCCATTTCCAAGGGAACCATCAGTGAGCGGCATACTGGAATGTTGTGGATTGTTTCCATTGTGTGGGAAGGGAAAGAGCCCACTGGATGAAGTTAATGGTAAGGGATATGACAAAGATGATGGCGCTTAGTGTTTAAGATAAAGACAAATAAAGACATATCTGCTTTTACAAGAGCAAACACTTGCTCTACTTAAGTGCCTTTGAGCAGGACACTACTCCACTTGGATTGCCAGTGGTTGTCATGGGGACAAGTTGATGTTTGGAACCAAAAGTAAAACAAAGAAAGATGACAAAGTTATCAAAGATGGAATGAAAACCAATCAAATACTCAGACAAGATCCGGGATTCTGGATAAAATGAGGTTTACTTTTAGTCCTTCAGACAGAAGAAGAGCTTTTACGTTCCAATCCATCCCAAACAAGTGTAAATAAAAAATTTAAAAAAAATATACATTTTTACATGATACATGAAATTTCATACAAAAGTATCGACGACACTAGTCAAAACGACGCACTTTAAAGGGGGTAGTAAACAACTTTTCTAAATAGAAAATACTGTACATGTCCTGAAGAGTTACAATGTTAATCACTTTAGTTAACATTAAACTAAAGTGTTAAGCAGTTATTTTATACTTTCACTTATTCATTTCAGGGATAACTCTACCTAGGCTACTTTTGTAGTCACATTTGACTTGTGCTGTAATGAATGAACACAATCACAGCAGCTCATTGGGAAAGGATGAAGAACACCCTTTATTTACACGTATACCTTATAAATGCTACTGCCTGAAAGCGCTAATAAAACTGTATTTTTTTTCTATATGGTCAGAAATATCATTATTAATATCATTACTGCAAATTTTCTTTATATTACCCATCCTTAAACCCACACAGAGCATTTTCAGTTATTGGGACATATCCAATATGGATAATCTCCTGGTACATGTGAGAAAGGCCAACTTACCTGGACCTTTTTCTTCCAACATCATCTACAGATGAAAGTCATACAGAATATGTTCCAATATGTTAAGTTAAATTAGCAAGAACAAGTAAAGAAAGTCCGTGCTACCTTTGGTACTCAGACTTTATGACACTGACAAAAAAAGATTTGAGGTTTGTCGCCCAGCCCTTCTTACGAACGTGGGTGAATAATATGCAGCTGCAGTAATGACAGTAACTCATCTCATGAGTGGCAGCTACAAATAACAATTTGGCTTTAACAACCTGTTTGGAGAGACCACAATCAGACACCCAAACACAATTATCATAAAATTCCTCAGCTGGAGTGTGACTGACATTTAACAGAATGGCTTTTTTGCACTGTCATGATAAACAGCCCTG